CACACAAACGCCCACTACAGCATCTGCCACTGATAGTGTTTCGGAAGGGATCCCTATAAGGAGGTGGGTTCGGGGTTTATGCGGCCAAAGTTTCCACTGTGGCAACCAGCAGCGGCATAATGCATTTAGCCATCTTGCTGGTTCCGGGTCCTGCGTAACTTTTCATTCACTTTGCCACATATTAAAATCTAACCACAAAATGTCAAACCGAAAACCAAAAGTTATGCATTCGAGTCTGTGCAAACATGTACACGGTGTTCGTGCGTGTGTGTGTGTGCGACTCCTGAGAGTATCCTTGTGTGCCTGACAGGTGAAACTCAAAAGAATTGTTGCATAAACTTTGATGTTTATTAGCTTCAATGCGCTGAGTAGCTGCAGGGCTGTTGGGCTTTAAACTATCTTTAAGCTATAAACTGTAAGGAGGGAAAAGCCGCAGAGGATTTTTAAAAGAAACTCTTCCAATTAATTAAAAAATATTATCAAAACTATTTAAGTTCGAGGATTCTACTAACAACTAACTAATTTTAAACTTAAAAAATACATCTTTTTTGGTGAAAAATGAGTTTATATAAACGAAAATAAAATTAAATGTGTTAAATTTTACACATTTTACTTCGTACGAAAATTGGAAAGGTAAAAGTTTATACCTAAAAGGTATATTTCACCAAAAAGTCGGTTATTTTCTACACAACGCTAACATAATAATTACTGGTAAAATTTGTCGAACTTAAAATGGCCAAAATTTCAATTAAATAAACCTTAAAAATGTCTAAAAATTAAAAAACAAATGAAATTAAGTAAATTTCAGCCACCCTCGATTAGACGCAGTTCTTGCATATCGCATTTGTCAAAACTAATGAAATTTATTGACGCAGCTAAATGAGCGCAATTGACTCACACTCACACCGCCGCAAAAGTGTTGACAGATTAATTAAGCCAAAATACCAAAAAACAAATTCACAAAAAATAGGAAACAACAAATAACAACATTGGGCTATTGTGCATGACAGTGACGAAGCTGAAAATGCAAATATGCATTATGCAAACCTAATTGCAGTCTTTGTAGTTGTTGTCGCTGCTGTTGCGTAATTATAATTGCGTTTATTGTGTGCATGTTAGCCAATAATTAGCATTGAATTAATTTTCGAACAGCAAACCAATTAGCCGCACACCTTATGCTCGACTCTTGACCAAGGCGGCAAAGATGACCCCCACATCCTTAACCCTTTGCAATCGCCCAAATAACCACACAACATCATCATCATCGCCATCGTCTGCTGGTTGCCGCAGTGTAATTTCATTGAAATTCGATTACCATCTGGGCCAATCTCTCAATCAAACACTTCGCATGCTCGTTGTAATTACGTGTTTCGCGTTTCCATTTGCGCCAAATGAACTTGAGGCCCATTTACATGTGATTCCTGACGATTTGCGGCTTAAATCGAAATTAAATTTATGAAAAAGGCAAATCTGTTGGGAAAATGTACGTTTTTTAACCAAGTTTTAAGTTGAAACGACAATCCGAAATCGCATTAAGTTAAATTTAACAGGATTTCTGCAGAGCCCATTAATAAAACTTTAAAGCAGGTTCCATTTCTTAGGAAAATAGATTGTAACAAGGCCTTTATTCCTAACATTAAGAGTGTTTGAGGAGAAGCGGTCAAGCCAGGCCCAAAACTTTAAACTATTTTATTATTTAAACAAACGACTATAAATTGTTAAATAAGCTTGAAGATTATGCAATTGCGGGCTGGAAGGCTGATGAGATTTACGAGCTGGCAGCCAGGCCAATGGCCTTGTTGAAATTGCAGCAAAACATGCGTTTGCGAGAGGCGTTTAAAAGAGTTTCCCAAAGTGCAAACGCAGCGCCCCAAGTTGGTTATTTCTCAAGCCCCCACTCACACATTCGCACACACAGTGGGGATTTTGGTAACACAAACACAACAGACTGGACATAAAGCAACACACATACACACACAGAGGAGTACAATGGATTGCATTTGAAATACACAGACGACGTGCCCAGATAAATTTTCCCCAGTCTCAACCTCAGTCCCATTCCCATTACCAATCCCCCTTTCTACACAAAGAAAAATTTTTATTTTTAAACAATTTTTATCTTACAGATCTAAAACTTTGCCATGTATCTTGTAAGAAATAATGCAAAATCTAACTTTAAGATACATTTCTATTTATATCAAATGAAATATTTTTTTTTTTACAAAAAACTTTATTAAAAAGTAACTACTCTTTTAGAACCAATACAATATTTAAATTACACTTTTAAAAAATAAACAAATTTTTTTTTTGTTCATACTAATTAGTTTTCTGTGTGTACGAGCGTTTTGAGCCAAAAGACGACTACGCTGCAAAAGTTGCAAGACAGTCGAACTGAGACTCGGACCTTCCATGCTGACTTTGAAACTTATGCGCCAGCCGTTAAGCTCAGCTCAATGTGTTGTTTTTCCCCGCCTTTTCCCCGGGTTTTCCTCGCTTTTCCTCTGTGCTTGGGCGTGTGTGCGTGGAAAAGCAGCTTAAGCATGCACATTCGCATAAGGAAACGGATGAAGAAGTTGCAGAATAAGTAAGCTGCAGCAGCTCATACGAATTTCATGTATACGTATAGAAAACAAGGCACAGTAAATGTGAAGAATTATTTTATACCCTGTTTAAATTAATTGAAATTCATCTACTTTCCAACCAACAAATTACCTTAAGTCATTTGCTTTAAACATAGCTTTTGAAAAATCATAGATAATTCATAGATTTTTAGATTTTTGAAATTTTTGTTTTGAAATATCCTAATTATTTTACATAGTTCAACAAATATTTTCGAAGGAATAACTTGAAAATTGAAAAGTATTGAAATCGATGAAGGGATAAAAATTAATATACCCCGAAAACCGAGCAGCCAACCTACATGGTGGGTATAAATGCTCATAAATATTCCGTTCCATAATAATAAAAAACTGGGATGAAAAAAAGCAACGCAGAATGGCTGCTACCACCACGGTAAGCAATTTTAGAGTGCCGCCTGCAAATATGCTGTAAATTTTCTAAAAGTTTTCTTTATGGCCAGGAATGCAACGTTAAGCTGTGTGTCCAAACGAAAAAATCAGAGGACATGTTTTAACAATGTATTTGTTAAAAAAAAGTATAATAAATTATATTATAATTTAGTTCTATAAATTAACATATTCAATACTAAGATTTCCTTAATAACCAAAAATCGTATATTATCTAACACACTAATAAAACTTAAAATATAGTTAGTAACTTTATAAATCTAATGATTTTAAATGTTTTAAAGATAACAACTAAGACTTCAAATTTTATATTTACAAAAATATTTTAATAATGTTTTGTTGAATAAATATTACAACACAAATACTCAAAACCCTTTTTTTATTTAATTTAAAAACACTGTACACAGGTACATCAAGAAAGTAAAAGGCTCCAAGTAAGCAGAAAATACGAGAACTGTTGACCTTACAAACTTGGGGATCATGTAAAATTATTAAAAACTATAAAGACGGTATGAATTAAAAAAAATAATTTGTAACCCTCTTAAGCTGCAGATAAGATTCCATTTAATTTACCCTTACCAAGTACGTTCCGAAAATTCTTGTGGTCGCGGGCTTAAATGACCAAAACATTTTTATAACTTAATTAAACACTGATTTTGGCTTCACATTTTATGGCCATTTTCACACAGCCATCGACAACACAAAACCGAACACGTCGCCCAAACTCACTTCCCATCCCCTAAAAAAAATTGAGGAAAAGCGAGGAAAAAATTGTTGGAGAAAATGAAGTTCTATTCGATTTGTTTTATTGTCCATCGGTTCGGTGCGGGGGAATGGGAATGGATTGGGTGGTTTGGGCGGTTGGATATTTGGTCGGATGACTGGTCTGTGGTCAGCTGCCAACTGGGAGTATTAGTTATATATGCTGTGTCGGCTATTTTGGGCCACTGGCAGCGGCAACAAAGTTATTTTGCGAAACTGCCAATTGTCGGACTTACTTTTTGTTCATGCCACTGTCGCTGCCACATGCCACATGGCAATGTTCTCGTTCTGTTTCTGCCTCTATACCTTCTATATGGTATATCCCCTCGATTTCCGCATGACACGGACAGTCAGCCCAATAGAAAGTTGCATTTTTTTAGGGCTTATATCGTTGGCTGTCGAGTTATGATGGAATCCTTCTGGCTTGGGCCACTTTAATTACAGCCTCGAGGTGTCAATGGCTGAGATTAATCAGTTTAATGGCCCTCTCTCTGTTCTGGCATATTTCAGCGGAATAAAGTCATTAAAATGCAATTAAAAATTGCGGGTGTGCTGCCTTGCTTCTTCCGCACTAAAACGTGTTTGTGAATTTCCTTAGCTCAATTTAATTAATTTAGCACAGCGCAAAGGCAGGGAATATGGGCCAGGGGGTTGATGTGGTTGTAATACCAACTTTGTTTGGCTTAAAGTAATTAACATGCATCGCTTTCCTAGAAGAGCTGTTACTCGTTGGGTTTTCCCATTTACTGGGGTAAAAATGAACTAATTGTTTATTGGATAAACATTTATTTCCGTGACTGGGAGGTAGCTCTAAAGGGAATTAATTGCCGATTGCTGAACTACAATTCAAATGCCATTCATCTAATAAATTTAATTTTGCTCTGCATTTACATACGGTTATTTTTTGCTGAGTGAAATGTATGCTAATGTACACATAGCTGTTTTAAGTGAACTGCTATTGAAACGATCTATATTGATTAGGGATTTTAAGGATTTTTTGTAGCACTTAGAGTCAAACATTATTTCATTATTGTTTTTTGTATTATTTTATTGGATAATAGATTATATTACCATAATATTGATACAAAAAGGATCTGCCTGATTGCATGAACTTCAGCTGACTGAAGCTAGCTTCATTTCTTGTTTTTTTGTGATGTTTTGTTTAAAAAAAGCAATCCTTGAAATAATTGTTTCTAATAATTTAGTATCTGAGACATTTTTTTAAAATGTTGTCAGCTGATCAAATATTTTTGTTTCTGGTTTTCGCTCTTTTCGTGTTTACCACATGTGTCGAAATTAATAAAGATCTTCTAAGGTGTGGAGACTGTACTGCTGCTAATGTGAATAATTGCATTATTGAAAATGATACGGGATACTATGTTTACCCAGAAAGTGCTGACGCATCTTTTACTCGGACAAAACAAAGCGATATTCCTCGGGGAACAACTAACTTCAGCGTGTGCATTCCCAAAAATATGAAAATTGAGGGTATTGAGAGCGGCAGCAATAATACCTATAGCAAGTATACCTCTATTATCCAACTATTTCTTTACAGCTTATGATGGAGGTTTTGATTATATATGTGTTTGGTCACCAGAACTTGGTTGTCAAATTTTATATCCTAAGTACAATAGAAAACCAGATTGTTTGACGTGCCGAATGAGGGATGCTACTGGAGAACCGAGCTGTATGTGTACGGTTCCAAAAAGAGAATATATTAGTGAGGAAAATTCGAAATCGGGATCAAGGAAACTCTACACCGGCTTACTGCATATTATGATTAATGCATATTTTGTGCAGCAGGCAACATATTTATGGGACTAAAGCATGAGGACTAAAATATGAATTCTAAAAAAAATTGCCTTCAACCTACTGCAGACATCCGCAAAAACTTTCCAAATTCACAAGGCAAATACAATAATAAAACAGTGTTTTTTCCGAATTACTCAATTTACAAGTAAAAGCAGCAACGCTAATTTGTCAGAGATTGAATGGTCCGATTGACCCTTTGCAATGGTCAAGGAACAAGAATTGTTAATACGATTCATGATATAAATTGTATTATTTCCATGGCTTGAAACTTTTTTGCGGGGCCTCATTGCTGTTCCTGTTGGAGTCTGGTTCTGGTTTTGGCCTGGCCAAAATTTTTTGAATAATTAGGAAAAATAGACTCTTTTAAAGGTAGGTGTTACCCGTTTATTAAATAGATTGTATTGATCTATCACAATCTACTTGCCAATAACCACAATAATAAGTAGGTTCTTTTGGCCACCCATAACTTGTTTTAAGTAAAAAATTGTCCTATATCTCAACAATTCAGCAAAAATGGCAAACTAATATTGTTTTTTTTCTCTGTAAAATAAAGCATGAGAAAAAAAATTTTTTCCGGGCTAATGGCATGCCATAAAGCAGCGGCATTTGTCAATATCAATTTTGATGAGACACGAAGGCAAGCATGAAAATTGTGGGCGCCACAGGTTTGGGCGGTTTGTGGGCGTAAGAGTGGGCGTGGCATATTCGCGTAACAAACTTGCGCTGCGTACAAGGCTACGGAATCTAAGTCTGAGATCCCAATTCTCTAGCCTTTGATAGCTTCCGAGATATCCGCGTTCATATTTACGATTATTTGAAGTTTGTAAGGGGCTTGTGGGCGTTAAAGTGGGCGTGGCAAACTTTTTTTTAGGTCAATCGATAGGTATTGATAAGAACAACACATTTCAGTTAAAATTTTATTTTAGCATCAAAACTGTAGAAGCCACAGTTTTGGGCGGTTTGTGGGCGTTAGAGTGGGCGTGGCACATTGCTGAAACAAACTTGCGCTTTCAATGCCCTCAATTGTCATATTTTTGGGAGTACACACGCTCAAGTTAGATACTTCACGAGGTACACCACTATGTTTTGTCCGAGCATAAGATGCTGCAGCATAGTCTGGGGAAACATATTATTCCTTATAAGTATACCCGTTACTCGTTGAGCAAACGCCCACAAACCGCCCAAACCTTTGGCGCCCATAATTTTCATGCTAGATACAACATTATAACTGATATGTAATAGTCTCGTTAATACCCACCGATTGATTTAAAAAAAAGTTTGACACACCCTGTCTAACACCCATATCGCTCAAATCTGTCTACCGCCCACTTAACCATATTGATCCCTTTAGCTGAGCAACTATATCAATTATAGCGATCTTCCTTGTTTTGGTTTGGTGTGTTACTTCTTCGTGTAAGCTTTTCAAAACCAGTTGTCCTTGATGTTTACGTCCTTTCAAAGTCCATATTGTTTTAAGAAAGACGGGGCCAAAAGTTGTTTTTCCTCAAAATGTCTAAAATTCGAAAATTTCTTTTTCTGATTCTCGCACTTTTCCTGTTTACCACATGTGCCTCATTTAATAAAGAACTTGTAATGTGTGAAGACTGTACTGAGTACAATAAGGGCATATGCATAATTAAAAGTGATGTGGACCATATTGTGATTCAAAAAGATTCTTTGAGATCGATGGCTGTTTCTGATCTTACCCGGGTAACCGCGGACTTGGACGTGTGCATTCCTAGCAATATGACAATTGACGGTGAGCTATAATAAGGCAGCTAATACTTATTGATTTAACCAACATTTTTTTACAGCACAAGATGGGGAATTCAAGTATATATGTGTTTGGTCTCCCGAACTTGGCTGTCAAATGTTAATACCTAAAAACAATAAGGACGATGATATTGGGTGTGGTGCATGCCAAGTGGACGAATTTGTGAAAACAGGATGTCCGTGTGAGGATCCCGCCTCAGATTCTGGCAAATCCAAGAGGAATTCGGGATCAAGGCAACTTTACACCCGATCTCTGCGTATTATGATTGCTGCTTATTTTATGCAGCAGGCTATGGCCCTAAGGCTATGTGGGCTTTAGACATGAGTTCAAGAAAATGTTGTGGTGTAGAATAAAAACGTTTTATTTCCCGATTTGAGTGGACTGTATTTCAATTGTTAAATTTGTCACATTTTTTTGTGTGTCCGATGCTTTCCGTTGTAGTCTTAACACTAAGTCCTAAAAAATCTCTAATGTGTGACGCAGCACCAAAATATATTAAAAAGGGCAAAGTTAGTATTTCTTATACCAAAGGGAGAATAAGATTCAAAATTAAATAACGGCTGTAATGCGTTCATCAACAGTTGATATCAGAACTTTTGTTTGCTGAAGATGCCCTCCTGGTGCGCTTCGTCACTACCGGGACTGCCGTCCACAGTGATATCCCCAGCGGCCCCAACGGATCAAATTTTCTATCTCCCAAACTAATGCATGGTTTTTAAAGACTTTCAATCCTTTTTGTTTTTGCGATTCCTTTCGACTGATGTCGATGATCGGACTATCAAAGTAATTTTCATATTTTTGTGTATATACAGTACTCGTCACAGCGTGAACAGCCGTCCACAGTGCTTTGAACAAGTACTTTCGAACGATGATATTTATTTTCTTATACAGTCAATACAATCGAAAATTGTTTATTTACTTGAAGTCTTTCCCTTAAAACAAAATTGCTCGAAATTTGACAGGCACTGTGAATTTGTTTGGGAACTTGGAAAGCTCTTGGTGAATACTAAACTCAGTTGACGGCAACGTGTTTCAGAACTCTTTCTTAAAGCCCGCCTAGCTTCAGTCTTATAAGTACCTGATGCTGCACAACAAAAGCAGCAATTATAATATGAAGATAACCGGGGTAGAGTTGCCTTGATCCCGATTTCTCCTTTTTCTTTCCGAAATCGCCAAAATTTATCTCGGGGGTTTTGCACGGACAACTTTTTAATCCAGCTACTTTCACTTGGCATACCGCACAGTCCAATTCGGTCTTAGTGTTCTTAGGTATTAGCATTTGACAACCAAGTTCGCGTGACCAAACACATATATATTCGAAATCATTTTCTGCTGTAAAAAAAATGTTGGTTAGTCCGAGAAGTACCATTGCTGCCGTGTTATTAGTATAGTATTAATACTTACCATCAATTTTCATACTTGTAGGAATGCAAACGTCCAAGTCCGTGGTTGTCGGAAGCGACGAAGAGGATCTAAGACTTCTCGATTCCAAAATTCCTTTTGGAGCAACATAGTGTCCCGAATCACTTTCAATTTTGCAAACATCGGAATCATCCTTATTACAGTCTACACACAGTACAAGGTCTTTTTTAAATGCGGCACATGTGGTAAACAGGAAAAAAAGGAAAATCAGAAAAAAAAATATGCTACTTTCAGGCATTTTAGGGAAAAACAAATTTGGCTCCGTCTTTATGAAAACGAGTTTGACTACAGAAAAAAGTTTTTATCAAGGACTACTTTTTTCAAGAATTTTAGAATTACACAACAAACTTGTCCGTTATGAATCTAGTATACCCTCTTACTCTACGAGTGACGGGTATAATGACTATGGAATTGTAGGTAAAATAAATATTTAAATCAAAACCATTTATACACCAAGAAAATGAATGGAAAATGAATTTAAAATTGGTTGTCTCAGCAACTCAGACAAGTAGGATTAAATACGACAAAGGCTTATAGACCATGCGACTTGTGACAACAAAATCAACATGATTCGTCCCAGCAGAAACCTTAACCAATTGCAATTAAATCTGAATTAAACATATCGTAGAAATTCCGTTGAAAGCCCAAGGTTTTTTACTAATCATGCACACAATTTTGTATGCTTCTGCAAACATCGTGGGGAACTGTTTGCCACATTCCCATTGAGCCGGAAATGTGCAGGAAATGCGAGTAAACACAAAAAGCGATTCGGGTCGACAGTGGACATCCACAGGACAGAAGCATCAATGGCGATGGAGGAAGTCCAAGGAGAAGCCACTCGGTCAGGTCATTCGCATTCAATAATCCCCCACAAACAGCAACAAGGAAATCACAATGCAATGACAAAGCAAGGAGTGCACAACATTGAAAATTGTGGGCGTCACAAGTTTGGGCGGCTTGTGGGCGTTACAGTGGGCGTGGCATATTCGCGTAACAAACGTGCGCTGCGTACAAGGCTACGGAATCGAAATCTCCCAATTCTCTATCTTTGATAGTTTCCGAGATATCCACGTTCATATCTACGATTTTTTGAAATTTGTGGGCGGTTTGTGGGCCTTAAAGTGGGCGTGGCAAACTTTTTTTTTAACAATCGATAGGTGTTAGTGAGAACAATACATTTCAATTAAAATTTTTATTCTAGCATCCAAACTGTAGTAGCCAAAGCTCAGGGCGGCTTGTGGGCGTTAGAGTGGGCGTGGCACTCTGCTGAAACAAACTTGCGCTGCGTAAGAAGCTCAGGAATCTGCACGCCAAATCTCAATAGCCTAGCTCCCATAGTTTTCGAGATCTCAGCGTTCATCCGGACAGACAGACATGGCTAGATCCACTCGGCTAGTGATCCTGATCAAGAACATATATACTTTGTGGGGTCGGAAACGCTTCCTTCTGCCTGTTACATACTTTCCGACGAATCTAGTATACCCTTTTACTCTACGAGTAACGAGTATAAAAAGTAGAAATAATAAAATAATGTTTAAACGATGGTATTTAGACAAATAATGTTATGAAGGCGTACACAGTACTTTAATACACATTTCCAACGACATATAGCACAAGCATGTAGCTTTAGAAATTCGCAAGTTACGGGCGTACGAAACTTAGCTATTTATAACTGTTTTCCCGCCAAACTACCAAGTATTTCCAAACGTGGTAGAAACTGACAATCTGACAAGCAAAATAAAATTTTCATTTTGAGTAGTCCCCCAAATTTTTGTTTTGCGTGTAGCTTCTATACTTTCACCGGCCTTTCTCCCAAACTAATGGATGGTTTTTTAAGACTTACAATCCTTTTAGTTTTTGCGATTCCTTTCGACTGATGTCTCCCTCGTTACGATCGGACTATCACAGTAGATTTTCATTTTTTCGTGTATATACAGTACTTGCCTTCGCACACTCTCCTGGTGCACTTCGTCACAACGTGGACTGCCGTCCACAGTGCTTTGAACAAGTACTTTTGAACGATTTGGGTCTGGATGCGAGTGGATTTCTGCAGAGGGTTCGATTGTGGTTTAAGGTGTGCACTGTATATTATTCAACTTTACGTGCAGCTCCTATAGATATTTTAAAATGCTAGGACAAGAGAAGAGCTTTTTATTTTCTTATACAGTAAATCGAAAATTGTTTATTTACTTAAAGTCTTTTCCTTGAAACAAAAAAATTTGAAATTTGATAGGCATAGTGAACCAGCTGCATTTGCTTGGGAATTTGGAAAGCTCTTGGTGAATACTTAACTCAGTTGAAGGCAACGTGTTCTAGAACACATTCTTAAAGCCCGCCCTGGCTTCAGTCCCATAAGTACCTGCTGCTGCACAACAAAAGCAGCAATCATAACATGAAGATCACCGGGGTAGAGTTGCCTTGATCCCGATTTCTCTTTTTTCTTGCCGACTTCGTACGAGTGAAGTGTGCACGGACAACCTTTTCCTACACCGATCAGTTGGCATATTGGACACTCTAATTCGATCTTATGGTTCTTAGGTACTAGCATTTGACAACCAAGTTCGGGTGACCAAACACATATATATTCGAAATCATCTTTTGCTGCAAAAAAAATTTGGTTAGGCCAATAAGTACCATTGCTGCCGTGTTATTAGTATAGTATTAATACTTACCATCAATTTTCATATTTCTAGGAATGCAAACGTCCAAGTCCGAGGTTAGAGGGGGCAACAAAGAGGATCTAGAATATCTCGTTTCCAAAGTTCCATTTGGAGCAACATAGTATCCCGAATAAAGTTTAGTTTCGCAAATATCGAAACCTTCCTTATTACAGTCTGCACACAGTACAAGGTCTTTTTTTAATGCGCCACATGCGGTAAATAGGAAAAGAACAAAAACCCGATAATAAAATAAGCTACTTTCAGGCATTTTAGGAAAAAAAAAATTTGGCTCCGTCTTTATAAGAACGAGATTGACTACAGAAATAAGTTTTTATCAAGGACTACATTTTTCAAGAATCTTAGAAATACAAAACAAACTTGTCAGTAAAACAATTGTGGACAATTTTGTGCTTCTGAAGAAGAAATAATCTTAAGACGATGTTGGTGATGCGAAAAATCGCAAAATAAAGCAGCCAGGCTACGAACCACCTTGCGGAATGCCTCGAGTAATTCCGAATACGGATGTACGTATCTCATATTTAGCTGAAGAGATGATTTCATCTAGGGTTCGTTCCAGAGTGAGGATATTAGTAACCTTTGGTACACATGTAGATGGATGTTTAGGCTTGATCAATTCAGGTTGGCTTGAACTTTGCGCTCTTCTCTCATATTCTCAATAGAGTTCGTTTACTCAGCTAAAGGTGCGAAGCTGTTGTTGCGAAGTCAATTGGACGCCGAGTCCTTCTAACCAAACAAAAAATATATTAAGAGTAGTGATTGCGGAAGTTAATACTCTGAGGAACCTGACCGTCCCTGAACTAAATCATCGTTAGCCGATATAATCTTTATTAATGTAGCTTCCAAAATAGAATCCACAGCTAACAACAACACCGTCTCATCACTATCGTGCTGGAAGGCATAATGCCTACTGAGTCATACTTATGCGCCCTTGCACACCTATTTGGTGATCTATTTGTAAGCCGATCCAATCTCTCGTGTGTTTTCCCACAGCGCTTGGTGTAAGCCCCGATCGGGAGCTTTACTAGTTTTCTGTTTTGCGTATATATACTGAGAGCTTGGTGACCGCTTACAAGCTTATAAAGATTATTACCTAGAATTTATTCTACCCTAAAGAAAGAAAAAAAAAAAGTAAATGCATTATAAATCTCGCCCGAATTGAAAAATGATATTTTCTCGGTTCCACTATATTATTATCTCCGAACACCCAAAAATAAAAATATAATAATGACCCAAAATAAAAGCAAATCGTAATGCTGTCTAGCCACCATATCACCCAAATCTTCGAACATAGTTTTGTAAGTGCACAATAATAAAGTTGTGGAAAGAAGTATTTAGTTATAAAACCCAAGAATGTTGCGAATGTTGGCGCACAAATACTTTGTAGATAATTAAACAGACTCGACTAAATTTAAGGGAATCTTAGCTACTTGAAAAAAAAAATGTTAAATCAACAAATGCCCCTTTGTAAATAAATATGGATAACATTTTAAAGAAAATCTTGAACGGCTAAAGGTGTGTGGTTTCCTGAATTGACACGGCAACTTAAATTATGAATCGGAAGTATCTCGAGGGTATCTTCGTCAAATAGTCGAGAGGATTATGGTTGGTTGGGTAGAGAACGCATGTGTCGAATATCAGCTCAGACCTTTTAAAACGTTAGCCAGTAGTATATTTAAATTTTCTTCTGTTTTTTCTCTTCTTTTCTTTTCAATGTTAATTTATATAAAGTAGTTTCTGTAGGAATCCTAAAACTAAAGTATGTAGGGACAGTTAGAGATGGCACACAGACCCACCCCATCGCCGAAAGAGCTAAGGCACTAGAGCAGTGGTCGGCACACACATACCATCACAAGTTTGCCTTGCATTAGTGTGAGTGTAACAAACACGAAGTTTGCGCGCGGCGTGCTGAAGCGAGACGTTTCTCTGCTTTGCACTGAGATCCTCTGCCGCAGCAACAAAAAAGCGAGCCGAAGTTGAGAAAAAAATGACCCGAAGACCCATGCCGAAGTCACACGAACATGTACGTTATACGTGAGCGAGCAGAGGATGGGCAGAACACTTCCCTATGCTCACTAGATAGGCCGCTGCCGACCACTGCACTAGAGGATTCCACCCGCCGTTCTCATAACTGGGCAGAAGGAGGAGAGCGCTACTAACAACTTATCTTGTGTTAGGATTTCAGATTTAGATTCCTTAGCTTCGTACGCAGCGCAAGGTTATTATGTGAATGTGCTAGATAGAATACAAATGTTATCTAAAATGAATTGCTCTCGTGAATACCTTTTAATTGACCTTGTAACCGAAGGTTTATTTATTTTGAAAATTGTTGGCTAAGTAACTGGTATCTGATAGTCGAGGCACTGGACTAAAACGTTCTCTCTTTTTATGCCAGTTACTTGTGGAGAAGCCATGTCCGTCGTCTTTTAAACTCCTGTTTGTCCGTCCGTATAGCCGCTGAGATCTTGGAAGTTAATAAAGCTATAAAGTTCTGATAAGAGCTTCTTGAGCAGCGCAAGATTTTGTCAGCAGGGTGCCACGGCAGTGTAAATCGAAAGTGATTTTATTGATCAATACCTAACTAAATGATAAAAATCACACTGTTTGATGACAGACTAAATTAAAGTGGCTTTTTTTGTCCGCTAGGTGCCGCGGAGTGGGCATGTGTGGTGCGTGCCGCGTTAAGAAAATGCCTTTGAACTTTATTTCATTTCATATTTGAAACAGAGTAACGGGTTTCTAATTCAAAGCACTCAACTATAGCATTTGTTGTTGTTTTTTGTAACTCAACAATTTAATAAACTTCTGGCAAATTGGTAGATATTGAAAATCATTATTAAATAAAATAAAATGTACCCTAAAAATCTTTATGAATCTGAGCGTCACAAACCTTTCCGGTTTATGGGACCGGGACTTGGATGAAGCAAACGGGGCTTGAAAGGCACTAGTAAAGTCTACAATTGTAATCTCAAAATATAAATATATGGGTGCCAGTGCAACTGATTTCGATTTCGCGATTTGGTAGATGGAGCCGAGAAATAAATCATGGCTTCATGGCTCACAAAACATGGGTTTTTAAATGTTATTCTTTCGGCAATGACACTAATACGGCCATTCGCAAAATTACCCTAGAACAATTAACTTGAACATGTAGATCGAAAGTTTTGTACTATAATGGAATGTTTGTGAATGTTTGAATGTATAGTGAATGTTTTTTCATTTGGCGTGCGGCTCCCCTAAATGTTTCAAAATTTTAGTACCAAAGAAGAGCTTCTTTTTTCCTTAAACAGTAAATCGAAAATTGTTTACTTACTTGAAACAAAACAAAATTTAAAAAAATACTTCGGAATTTGATAGGCACTGTGAACCAGCTGCATTTGCTTGGGACATTAGAAAGCTCTTGGCGAATACTAAACTCAGTTGAAGGCAACGTGTTCTAGAACTCTGAAAGCCCGCCTATCTTCAGTCTTATAACTACCTGCTGCTGCACAACAAAAGCAGCAATCATAATATGAAGATAACCGGGGTAGAGTTGCCTTGATCCCGATTTCTCTTTTTTCTTTCCAACACTTCCCACATCCAAATTGATGACGGAATTTATGCACGGACAACCTGGTATTCCAACTACACCGGCCACTTGGCACATCCCACAGCTTAATTCGTTCTTATTGTTCTTAGGTATTAGCATTTGACAACCAAGTTCGCGTGACCAAACACATATATATTCGAAATCATCTTTTGCTGTAAAAAAAAGTGTTGGTTAGGTCAATAAGTACCATTGGTGCCGTGTTATTAGTATAGTATTAATACTTACCATCAATTTTCATACTTGTAGGAATGCAAACGTCCAAGTCCGCCGATAGCGGAGGCAACAAGGAGGATCTAAAATCTTTTGTTGCTGCAAGTCCTTTTGGAGCCACGAAGTATCCCGGATCACTTTCAATTTTGCAAATATCGGAACCATCCTTATTACAGTCTGCACACTTTACAAGGCCTTTGTTAAATGCGGCACATGTGGTAAACAGGAAAAAAACGAAAATCAGAAAACAAAAAATGCTACTTTCAGGCATTTTAGGGAAATAGAAATTTGACTGTATTTATGAAAACGAGATTGACTACAGAATTAAGTTTTTATCAAGGACTACTTTTTTAAAGAATTTTAGAGTTACACAACAAACTTGTCAGTTGAACAATTGTAGACAATTTTATGCTTTTGAAGAAGAATAATCTTTAAACGGTGTTGCTTTTTTTTAAATCAAGCCAAAACAAGAGAGTTTGCCGATTTTCTGTACGAACATATATCCATCCATCTCGCACTTTATTGAGTACGCTAATTATTTATTTTTATTTGGCTAAAACTTTTTAATGGTCCGATTGTAATAATTTTTGGCACTTAGATGGGTATTTATAGTACGATCACATTTTTACAAAGTAATCAAAAATGTGGCGCTAGGCCCAAACAAACTTGCGCTGCGCAGGAAGCCCAAGAATATACTTTGTGGAATCGGAAAAGTTTCCTTTAACCTGTTACATACTTTCCGACGAATCTGGTATACCCTCTTACTCTACGAGTGACGGCTTTAATGACTTTGGAATTGTAGGTAAAGTAAATATTTAAATCAAAACCATTTATACACCAAGAAAATGATCGGAAAATGAATTTAAAATTGGTTGTCTCAGCAACTCAGACAAGTAGGATTAAATACGACAAAGGCTTATAGACCATGCGACTTGTGACATCAAAATCAACATGATTCGTCCCAGCAGAAACCTTAACCAATTGCAACTGAATCTAAATTAAACATACCGTAGAAATTACGTTGAAAACCCAAGGTTTTTTACCAATTATGCCGACAATTTTGTATGCTTCTGGGAACATCGTGGGGAACAGTTTGCCACATTCCCATTGAGCCGGAAATGTGCAGGAAATGCGAGTAAACACAAAAAGCGATTCGAGTCGACAGTGGACATCCACAGGACAGCAGCATCAATGGCGATGGAGGAAGTCCAAGGAGAAGCCACTCGGTCAGGTCATTCGCATTCAATAATCCCCCACAAACAGCAACAAGGAAATCACAATGCAATAACAAAGCAAGGAGTGCACAGTAAGAAAATTATACATACAAGAAAATTATACACATTAAAAAAAACTTCACAATTTTTTGATCGCTATTCAGAGAGCACTAAATGTTTAAAATTCTTAGTTTCCAGAAAATATACATTATGTTAAGGGTTGAAGGTTTTTTATTATAGTATTGAAATAAGGGGAAAAAAATTAGGTTACACTGAAGAAACGATGGAAAAATAAAAAAAAAATCTCCACACTGAAGTCAAAAATTTGAATTACACATTTAAATGAAACACAAAAACATAACTTTTAATACAAATCATGTTAATCAGTGTATTTTAATTTGAAATAAAAAAAATATATTTGATATGTTGTTATTTATATTTACTTTAAATATTTCCTTCGAACTATCAATGCTTATATATTTAAGTTAACTATGAATATTAAATGTATTATTTCCATGTTTAAAGTAATAAAAGCCGCTATAGATGAAAAACAAAGCGAAAAATGTAAGTTCAAAATATCCTTCGTTTTTTTTTATCCATTGAGGTTTTTATTAACTTTAAATATGGAAGTATTATAATTAAAAATTATAAATACTTCAATCGTTTTAAACATTGATTTGATGACAGCAAATATTCAAAGTAAATATGAACAACATTATATCTATTAAATATTTTCTGACTTGATTTAAATATTTTTAAAATTAAAGGTACGTTTTTGTATTTAATAACATACTCCAAAATCAATATCCAGATATTTACATTGATTTTTCAATCCTTTTTCGCGAGAACACCGCTATATAAAGTTACTTCAAATATTTTGACCAGCTTGGGAAAAAGCTATGGAAAAGTGGGAAAATCGAGAGAAACGGAGATGGTATATATTTCGTTTGCCACTGACATCAATTGCTCGTCGCTGTCAATATTGGAATATTGATATAATGATGCGGCCAGTGCACTGTCCACTTTGTATAAAAATCTCGGGGATGCACAATAAAAGAAGATAATATTTATTTGTATTCGTGTGCGACAGTGCATTTGTCTGCCCGGTTATGGGATGCATTAAAATTGTTTATTTCATAAACAAGGAAAACGTGCAATTTGATTGCAAATTAAATTGATTGTATTGAGAAAGTTTTTTGTAAAAGTAAAGTTTGAAATATTTTTGTTTTGTTAAAAAATTCTTAATTTATTGCGTTGATACTTTCATAAAATTGTCAATCGCCTTCTCCAGGAAGTTTTGCATATTCTATGTTTTCATTTCACTTTTTAGCTTGGAACCGATAACCATAGAAACATTTACATATGAACATATGTATGCTTTTGGGGGTTCAGCGGGGTCAGAAATGACAAAACTGCAGCTGACCGCCGTGAATTTGTCATGCATGCGAATACTGCTGACAATGGGGTCCTGACATCAGAACACAGTCTATCGTAGGCACTCAGAAAAATTACTTGCTGTAATTGCGTGTATTCAACTATAACTCAGTGTTATACGTACCTATTTAAATGTATTTTTTATTTTGTACTTCGATATCAGTTTTTAATTAATCTGTAGACAAGCTATAAAAATGTTAACCAAATACCACACTATACAAAATAAATTTTGTTAACTTTAATCCTAAAAAATTCGAATGCAAGAAGTTAGGTATTTTAAAGCAGAAAACCCCAATATTAATAGTTTCTCTACTTAAAAACTAATTTTTTAAACACCTTTAAAAAAAATGATTAGGAAAGTCACCCAACTGCTTGTTCAAAATTTACATATGTGCTTGACTCTTGTTAAAATTATTATATCATAAATAAAAATAAATATTATTTGCGGCAAGTTCGGGTTAATATTAATTTTTCTTGTGTCCGTTAGATGTTTGTGAAGTTCAATGTGCAGCATGGAGTTACAAAACTGTAATCTATTTAATAAACCACGTGATCCACTCGGGGCGACAATGTCAGCACGATGAACTACCGGAGGACTTCGTAGCCGCACACCCCCAGAAACTATCCACATCCCAACATCGCTCCACAAAAATAAATTATTCAGAGCCCTGTGAACGCTTGAATGGATCGGTATTCGATTCGTATTCACAAATATCAAATAGAGGGCGCCACACAGAGACCGACAAACTACCATCAACCAGGCGGTCGGACCATCGGAAAATATTTTGATTATTACTTAGATAGACACATACTTCAACGACAATTTATCATATTAAATATGTATTAAAGTGCAAATAAAATGAAAAGAATTATGCAAATTTTAAATATACTTTAAAGTTGATTAATTTCAAAAACTTTATAATGTACCTAAAATGTTTACAATAACTACAATTTAAATTAAAGATTTTATTGTACGTTGATTACATTCTTTAATATTGGAGATAAATCATACGGAAAGAATATATTTATAGATTGGATATGGCGATTGTTGATTATAACAATCACAATAACTCAATTATACGCCTACGTAAGCACCCGCAGTCAAGGGGTCAGAGGGTTTAGATAGGATATTTGGAAAGGGTACCTCTTAAGGAAGGGGCGAGGACTAAGGGACAAAGGACACGCACAGCCGCAGGACATGATGGCATATGTACAACCTTCCGATGATGGGCAGAGCTAAGCGGTTAGCCGCAGATGGGCAGGCGATTGCGCCCATTACGAAGTATGGACCCCTAAACCGGGACTAAAACCATTTCGGGGCTGAATTGTGACAATATTTTAATGAAAATTGACGCTTGATCCGGAGGTCGGCACTCCACAATCACTCCCCAAAAACCGATGATTGAGCCCATAAAACGGGTCCAACTGCTGCGGTCAACTAGCGATACAATTGGGCTTTGCGAGTGCCGGAACAAGGCTTACGAAATAATAATAATGCAAACATCGAATGGATGTTAAATTGGGGTAGAGTGCGGATGTGGAAGTGGAACTCAACCCTTTGGACGCAGCTGCTCCGGCGGCATCTAAAATGTAAACAGCAGCGCCAGGAACACAAAGTGCCCTAGGTGCAAACACGTACTGCAATTCAAATAAAGAAAACAATAATAGAAAATGGAGTCGAAGCCAGAGACATGGAAGGGCAAAAAGCCAGGGAAAAGCGCAAAAATCTACCAGTGCTGAGGGCCAAATACTGGGCCCATTCGTGGCTAACATTACCAAACTTAAAATACCCTTTACAAGAAGTTAGCAACAATGGAGGGCTTCTTCTAAATAATACTACAGCAATAAAATAAAATGTATTTTTACCGTTAAGTGATGAGAGTGCATAAAATGGGAAGTGGTTTGTTTTTGGCTATGAACATATAAGACAGTGGGTAGTTCCCTTTAAACATAGCTAAATTACCTTTCCTCCCTTAGGGTATTTTTGGAGACTGTTACACTTTCTTATTGAAATGTTTGTCTTTCGTTTTTGGCTTTCAGGATAACCACTTCCTCCCGACCTCTCCGACCTTCTACCCTCCCATCACACCAACCTGCCATTCCCATCACCATCAACTAACCGTTATCACGTTGCACACTTTATTGTGCTTTCCAATTGTTTTTCTTGTTATTTCTGCTTGTGCAATTGCACTTTTCAATATTGATGATAGGGCACCACAAAAGGTATATGTGTGTAACTATATTTAACGCTTCATTGACTAAGAGGCAATCGAAAAATAAATGCATCTGCTTAATCAAGATTCCGATGGAGTTGAAATAAATGTGTAACCGACAACAAAGGATTGTGCTGGCTGCACGCGAAGGGCTCTGACCACATAATAGAAGCATTACAGGTAAATAAACCTGCAGATGAGTAAAATAAATGTACTTTAAAATTGGTAATCCCTTAAGTTACATATTAAATTTAAGAACAAAAACTTATGAGCTGTTTCTTAACGTAAAGTGAAAAATGTATCAATTTAAGTACTAATCCAAAGACCTGCCCAAACTGGGGCGACGCGGGCTGTGGACTACATCTTCCTTTGTAAAAGAGATTGCTGCAGCTCTTTGGTGGTCCTACATCTAAACAAGGAAGAACACTATAGTCGAGTACCTCAACTATCAGATACCCGTTACTCAGCTTAAGGGGCCAAAGGGAAATGGAGATATGCAAGCAGCAAAGCGAGATTGAAATGCGTCACCTACCCGTGATCTCAATATATGGTTATGTGGGCGGTAGACGAATTTAAGAGTTATGAGTGTTAGAGTTGCAAACATTTTTTTGGGTCAATCGATAGGTATAGACGAGACTAAAACATATCAGTTAAAATATTTTTCTAGCATGGAAATTATGGGCGCCACAGGTTTAGGCGGTTTGTGGGCGTTAGAGTGGGCGTGGCACCCTGCTGAATCAAACTTGCGCTGCGCAGGAATCTCAGGAATCTGCACGCCTAATCCCAGTATTGTAGCTCTTATAGTTTTCGAGATCTCAGCGTTCATACGGACAGACGGACAGACGGACATGGCTAGATCGACTCGGCTAGTGATCCTGACCAAGAATATATATACTTTATGGGGTCGGAGACGCTTCCTTCTGCCTTCCTTTCCGAGGAATCGAGTATACCGTTTTACTCTACGAGTAACGGGTAAAATTACAATTTGTTATCACCTTATCACCGTATGTAAATCACCGACGGGATCATGTAGACTGTAAAGTATAAAATGTAAACTATCTCATAGTCTAAGAACTCTATTTGTTAGTTAAACCGTTTTCAATGCCTCTTATTTTTTTAATAGTGCATAAACTTTACTCACTGTACAATTACAATTTTAAAATACTTTTCGCATTTGTATTAATTTATTCAGGTCCACGTCGTCTAATTTTTGCTTTCAAATATTGAGCATACCAATATTGACCCATGAAGGCAAGGAAGGCCAAAACTAAATTAACGGCTATGTAATACAAAATATTTAAAACAAATATTTCATACTCACACCACGCAGCCGCCGCCATCATCGGGTCATCGGATCGGCTTAGAGGAAAGTCGACCCAGTTCAAAACGCCAAATCGTCTCGAGTTTAATAATATGTAAAGGCTAATAAGAGTGCTTATTGTCATCCAAATATAAGCAATCGGCATTATAAACTTATAGAATCGCTGCAAATAAATAACGCAATAAATAAAATAGCGACACACCACTTTGAGACTATTACTTTTTTTTGAGAAGCCAATACCATTGCAACAACTAAAATAATTTCCCACAAAAGAAATAATCCCCATGTGGCCAAATATTGATACATTGGTCTAGCTAAAAGTAAATTTAAACGGAGATTTATTTACAAAATATTTTTCTAACGACGTCAACTACTAGTTTCGACCGAGTTCGCAGAGGGATTTCTTCGTCGACTCCAAGAACCTTAAATACATACCTGTTATCCTTAACGCAAAAAAAATTGGATAAAATGCAGCTACTGAATTTATTAAAATCATGTAACCACGCATACCTAATCTGCACCGACACATCTTAATATTATGATCGACAACAATTTTTAGCAGATTTGATTTGTTTTTTGAAAAGGGTATTTTATTGACAATGTAATCAGGAAAAGGTTGATTGAGAGCTTTTTTTGCATAAAAGAAATTTATTACAATCAATACACCAGACCTAATTATCAACATATCTTAATATTATTACCAGACTAGTTATACCATTACTAGTTGAGAAAGAAGGTATACTAGATTTGTCTGACAGTACGTAACGGTGAAGCGTTTTCCACCCTATAAAGTAGATCTCGCAAATTATAAAAGATAGAAAGTTCGGATTTGGCATGCAGATTCGTAAGGTTCATGCGCAGCGCATTAACCCCCTAAACCTCAACGAAATCTCAGCGTTTATACGGACGGACAGACGGACATGGTTACTTCTAACTACAAGGGTGGTCAAAAGTATTTTCACAAAAAAAAAGTTAAATATATTCATAATTTGAACTTACATCTTGTTAACTTTGGCATCAATGGAAAGGTAATTTAAATGCCGTTTGAATGATACAATACATTTCTTAACACATTCAGTACTTATTGAAAAGGACGAATTTGTGTGAAAATGTCCTTTTTGAACTTTTTTCCTCGACTTGAAAACTTAAATTTTTTGATGCAAAAAGTTTCTTCAAACAAAAATAATAGTAACTGCAAAAAGAATTTTTCAAAAGTCATTTTGCTTATATTTTTTATGGTTTTTTAAAGGTGACACTGTCGGAAAAAATTTGTATGAAAAAGAGTAAAATATGCCTAAAATGCATGTTTCTAAGCATTTTCAAAAAATCATAAAAAATATAAGCAAAATGATTTTTGAAAAATTCTTTTTGCAGTTACTATTATTTTTGTTTGAAGAAACTTTTTGCATCAAAAAATTTAAGTTTTCAAGTCGAGGAAAAAAGTTCAAAAAGGACATTTTCACACAAATTCGTCCTTTTCAATAAGTACTGAATGTGTTAAGAAATGTATTGTACCATTCAAACGGCATTTAAATTACCTTTCCATTGATGCCAAAGTTAACAACATGTAAGTTCAAATTATGAATATATTTAACTTTTTTTTTGTGAAAATACTTTTGACCACCCTTGTATATTGATTAAGCATACAGGGGTGGTCAAAAGAATTTACACACATCAAAAGTTAGCAAGGAAGAACGCTATAGTCGAGTACCTCGACTATCATATACCCGTTACTCTGCTTAAGGGACCAAAGGGAAATAGAGATATGCAAGCAGAAAAGCGAGGTTGAAATGCGCCACCTACCCGTGATCTCAGTATATGGTTATGTGGGAGGTAGACGAATTTAAGAGTTATGAGTGTTAGAGTGGCAAACATTTTTTTGGGTCAATGGACAGATTTTGACGAGACTAATACATATCAGTTAAAATATTTTTCTAGCATGGAAATTATGGGCGCCACAGGTTTAGGCGGTTTGTGGGCGTTAGAGTGGGCGTGGCACCCTGCTGAAACAAACTTGCGCTGCGCAGGAATCTCAGGAATCTGCATGGCTAATCCCAGTGTTGTAGCTCTTATAGTTTTCGAGATCTCTGCGTTCATACGGACAGACGGACATGGCAAGATCGACTCGGCTTATGATCCTGATCAAGAATATATATACTTTATGGGGTCGGAGACGCTTCCTTCTGCGAGTAACGGGTAAAATTACAATTTGTTATGTTTTTACGCCTCAAGAGGGTATTCATACACTGTGCTCATAGTCTAAAGTGGCATCCGTATAAACGCTGAGATCACAGAAGGTATATAATCTTCTACCTAGGAATTAACTTGCAGTTTTTAAAGAATCTCTAATACACAGCAAACGTTTTTTCCAATGAAATTTAATTAATGTTGTCCAAATAATTAACATTAGCTAGTTGGTTATGACCTTATCACCGTATGTAAATTACCGACGTGATCATGTAGATTGTAAAGTATAAAATGTAAACTATCTCATAGTCTAAGAACTCTATTAGTTAAACCGTTTTCAATGCCTCTCATTTTTTTAATACTGCATAAACTTTACTTATTGTACAATTACAATTTTAAAATACTTTTACACATTTGTATTAATTTATTCAGGTCCACGTCGTCTAATTTTTGCTTTCAAATATTGAGCATACCAATATTGACCCATGAAGGCAAGGAAGGCCAAAACTAAATTAACGGCTATGTAATACAAAATATTTAAAACAAATATTTCATACTCACCCCACCCACTCGCCGCCATCATCGGGTCATCGGATCGGCTTAGAGGAAAGTCGACCCAGTTCAAAACGCCAAATCGTCTCGAGTTTAATAATAAGTAAACGCTGATAAGAGTGCTTATTGTAATCCAAGTATAAGCAATCGGCATTATAAACTTATAGAATCGCTGCAAATAAATAACGCAATAAATAAAATAGCGACACACCACTTTCAGACTATTACTTTTTTTTGAGAAGCCAATACCATCGCAACAACTAAAATAATTTCCCACACAAGAAATATTCCCCATGTGACCAAATATTGATACATTGGTCTAGCTAAAAGTAAATTTAAGCAGAGCTTTATTTACAAAATATTTTTTCTAACGACGTCAACTACTAGTTTCGACCGAGTTTGCAGAGGGATTTCTTCGTCGACTCCAAGAACCTTAAATACATACCTGTTATCCTTAACGCAAAAATAATCGGATAAATTGCAGCTACTGAATTTATTAAAATCATTAGACCACGCATACCTAATCTGCACCGACACATCTTGATATTATGATCGACAACAATTTTGAGCATATTTGTTTTGTTTTTTGAAAGGGTATTTTATTGACAATGGAATCAGGAAAATGTTGATTGAGAGCTTTTTTTGCATAAAAGAAATTTATTGCAATCAGTACACCAGACCTAGTTATCAACAGATCTTAATATTATTATCAGACTAGATATACCATTACTCGTTGAGAAAGAAGGTATACTAGATTTCTCAGTCAGTATGTAACGGTGAAGCGTTTTCCACCCTATAAAGTAGATCTCGCAAACTATGAAAGCTAGAAAGTTCGGATTTGGCATGCAGATTCTTAAGGTTCATGTGCAGCGCGTTAACCCCCTACACCCCAACGAAATCTCAGCGCTTATACGAACGGACAGAAGAATCTAGTATACCCTTTTATATTACGTGTAACGGGTATAATAATGCAAAGACCGATATAATTCGTTTTCGGACAAATTCATAGTAGTAAGTTAAAATTAAACATGATCTTAATATTTCTTACATTTTTGTTGTTGTTTTTAAGGCAAAACAATAAGTTTTATTTTTATTTTTCTCAATTAGTTTGCCGATGCTATCTTCCTTTTTTGTCAATTTTAAAATTGAGTAACTTGTATCTAATAATCGAGACACTAAATGGTAAACCACAAAAATTTAGCTTTGATAGTTTCCGAGATATAGGCGTTCATAGAAACGACTTTTTGAAGTTTGTTAGCGGGCTTGTATGTCATTTGACGAGGGCTTATCATTTCTGATAAAATTTTTATAATAGCATATTGTACATTTAAATAAGATTTTCTTTTAATTATCAATGACCATCTACATGGAAAAACTCCCAACATTTCATTCTGAAAGTGCTCGGTATATAAGGCTCATAAAATACACGATGCTAATGCCCGGGACTGGCAAGTCGAAAGATTAATGTAATTGATGTATTCTCGTTTTTCCATTATCAGTTTCCAATTCCTCTTTCTTTACTAGCACAATTATCTTTCCTTTTTGTCAATTTTAAAGTTAAGTAATATGTATCTGATAGTCGAAATTCTCGTTAAGAGGATTCTTTTTTCTTAACTAATGGTACACCACAAAAATTTTAAAAATAAAGGAAAGTGTTAAGTGTAAGAAAAGTAATTTAGAAAATCCATAGGAATTATTTTCGCATGCTTTTGACTCAGTTGTACTTTCGACTTCAAGTTCATTGACATATTCAAATTCTTGTGCTGGTATATTTTCCTTATACTTCCCAACCACATTTCCGGGTGGAGAATACCTAACGACCAATATTTTCCTTCCATTTTCTTTCCTATGAAAAAATTTCATACATCTCTAATGTCAATGACATTGGGCATAAAACAACACTTACGCTGTGTTTTTTTGGACTATACCCACTCCCAATTTTTTTGATGACCTCCATACGAGTGCAGTGTATTTGTCAGCCCACGATGGTGCTAGTGATGGTGGTTATTTCGAAAGTCTATATGCAGTCCTTCCTTCATAATACCAACGGCCAACACAAGATACAGATTTAAACTCACATATACTTTCTGTACAATATATTTTATTTTTATCCGAAAAGGGATAAGCTATGTGATCCTCGACGTCAGGCAAAAAATACGTAATATTTATTGGTAATGGTTTATCGATCCAGAATAATTCTTGATCTGGGATATTCAGTGTAACTAGATGCTTTAAGAAAAAATTATTTAGTGCGCAAAAACAATTAAATATTTTGCTTACCTTTGCATAATCTTCGCAATCTTTACTTAGCTTTTTAGACGAGGATAATTTTGGCATGCCCGCTAGTCTTCTATATTTATTGTGCTGTTTCCAAACTAAGTTCGCTGTCACATTAGCTCCCGAGCAAATGCAGTTAAGCTAAAGAAAAAGATATTTTCTAAATGGTCAATACTTTCATTTGTCTTACCTTAAGAGCAGCCAAAAACATAACGATAATGTTGTACGGATGCATACTTTATGAAGTTAAACGTAAACTTTGAAAAGTTTACTCAAAATGAAATATTTCCGAGGGCTACTAGATATGTTTGTTTTAACTGACATATATCCGATTCGGAGAAAAGTATGTAAGAGGTAGAAGGAAGCGTTTATGACCCCATAAAGTGCATATACACAGAAAGAACAATTGATATGATATGATGGTCAATTTGTGATATGTGATATGTGTCAAAAAAAACACAAATTTACCATGCGCATTTAAAATTGATCCTTACTCGTTTTTATACCCGTTACTCGTAGAGTAAAAGGGTATACTAGATTCGTCGGAAAGTATGTAACAGGCAGAAGGAAGCGTTTCCGACCCCATAAAGTATATATATTCTTGATCAGGATCACTAGCCGAGTCGATCTAGCCATGTCCGTCTGTCCGCTGTCTGTCCGGATGAACGCTGAGATCTTGATTGAGATTTGGCGTGCAGATTCCTGAGCTTCTTACGCAGCGCAAGTTTGTTTCAGTAGAGTGCCACGCACACTTTAACGCCCACAAACCGCCCAAAACTGTGGCTCCTACAGTTTTGATGCTAGAATAAAAATTTTAACTGAAATGTAATGTTCTCATCAATACCTATCGATTGACCCAAAAAAAAGTTTGCCACGCCCACCCTAACGCCCATAAACCGCCAAAAACTTCAAAAAATCGTTAATATGAAAGTGGATGTCTCGGAAAGTATCAAAGATAGAGAATTGGGATTTCAGATTTAGATTCCGTAGCCTTATACGCAGCGCAAGTTTGTTACGCGAATATGCCATATGAAATGTAATGTTCTCATCAATACCTATCGATTGACCCAAAAAAAAGTTTGCCACGCCCACCTAACGCCCATAAACCGCCCACAGACTTCAAAAAATCGTAAATATGAACGTGGATATCTCGGAAACTATCAAAGATAGAGAATTGGGATTTCAGATTTAGATTCCGTAGCCTTATACGCAGCGCAAGTTTGTTACGCGCACAACCGCCCAAAACTGTGGCTCCTACAGTTTTGATGGTAGAATAAAAATTTTAACTGAAATGTATTGGTCTTGTCAATACCTATCGTTTGATCCACGGCATGGAAAAGTTGTTTTACGTCAATCGATAGGTATTGTCGAGACCAATACATCTTAGCTAAAATCTTAGATAGTAAATCAAAAAATGTCACATTTATTTGAAATTTTTTTTTTTTTTTATTAACATTAAATATGCGCATATTAACTCTTTTTAATATTAAATTTAAATATTTTCTGGATCGATTTAATATTTTAAATATTTAATTTAAATATATGCCATATTTAAACAAAATATAATGCATATTTCTATGAAATACAATGGCTATTTGATTTCAAATTTTGAAAAGCTTAGTGTAATAATAAACGTAGTCAATATAAACAGACACCACATTAATTACTAATATTTTAATAATTAAGTGCATAACCGAATTGTTAAAATTCAATATAAGTTATGTTAGGATTAAATACGAGACAAAATTATTCAAAAGTTGCCAGTTGTATTATTAAATATTGTAAGTACTTGAATATTATTTGTACACTAAAAAAATCAGAACAGAATTTTTGTTTTAATTTTTACAATTTTATTTAAATATTTATTTTTCATAACTTGCCCCAAATATTTTGTAAACACATCATGTAACCAGTCATATTTATAAATACCGCTCAATAATTTCTATTAAGCTTACATATGTTATCTGATCAGCTGTAATAAGCTATTACCAACATAAAAATGTGTAACACTCTTTTGTAAAACGCACACACACATTTGAAGGTTTAGATTGGACTTTATTTTACAATACATTATCGTCTTACAGTTTTATTAAAAACACTTGCTAAATATCGGCGCAGAAAAGTCGTGTTTTCAAAATTATATTCATTTTAATCAACAAAATATAAAAAACTTAGAATTAATCATTATTTTTGAATTTTATAGTTTTTGCTCACAAATAATGATTGTTTTTGACTTTTATTATAAAAACAAAAAAACTAATATTTCTGAGTTTTATTTTTTTGAATAAAAATAATGATAATTTTGTGACTTTCACAATAGAACTCATATTGATTAACGAATATAAACTTTAGTGAAACTAGCTTTTGAATTTTCTGTCACACTGGAATTTACGTAACAGTTACCCAGAATTCAATACAATTTAAATTCCTAAAAATGTGTGATAAGAAAACTGGATTGATATATATTAAATCATTGATTTCACTTGCTCTGATGGCAATGGCGGGATGGGATATAATATATATAATAGCCCCTCAAGGTAATTAACGTAAATTATAAAATTACGATATATCGAACGCCTTTTGATTTCAGGTAAAAAAATGTATTTGAAATATTTTATATCATATAACATTATTCTGATGGGTCCGATTAATAAATTAGTATTGATAGTTTCAGTTTGGATTGTTAATGTAATTATTTAGAAAACGCAAATTGTACTTCTAGTTAGAAGTTTTATATTTTCAGGAATTGAAACGCCTATGTGTAATTAATTTACTTTGTCTACCAGTAAATCTGTCAGTATTTATCTACCTGATTCTTAACTACCCCAAACTAAACATATTGGACTGGCATGATCATCATAAGTGGACATATTCAAGTGGTGTGATTGCCTGGTCGGACATCCAATGGATTTTACATCTTTTTGGTAAGTTCAATTATTTTGACAAAACAAAAGATGTATATTTTAATAATTTGAACGTACTTTAGGTACAGTTGGCATCAATAGTAAGTTAATTAAAATTTCATTTGAATGTTATAAGAATTTTCCTAACCCATTTAGCAATTATTTAAACGTCAAATTTTTGTGTAAACTTCTTTCCTCGTCTTGAAAACATAAATTTGTTGATGCTTTAAGGTCCTCAAAGCAAAACTAATAGTAACTGTAAAATTAATTTTTTAAAAAATCTCTTTTCTGATATTTTGCACTTTGTACCCGTTACTCGTAGAGTAAAAGGGTATATTAGATTCGTCGGAAAGTATGTAACAGGCAGAAGGAAGCGTTTCCGACTCCACTTTGCGTAAGACCAAGAAAGGAATCTTTACTTCCTAAAACAAAAAAAAATTGTATTTTTGCCGCGGAAAAGATGTTTTTTCTACAATTTTAAGTTAAGTGCTATAAAAACATATGGGCTTTCCGTTCGCTGTTAAAATCACTGAACGGCAGTCCACGTAGTGATAGTGACGAAGCGCACAAGAAGAGTATGCGAAGGCGACTACTATAAACGAAGAAATAAAAATCAGCTGTGATGATCCGATCATAACAAATAATACACCAATCGAAAAGTAACGCAAAAACTAAAAGGATTGCATACCAAGACTTCAAAAATGTAAATTGGTCTGAAAGAAAGAGCAGTGAAAGTTAAAAAGTACAAATTTGAAAATTTTGAGTTATTGGGACCTTTGGAAATAAGTGCCCCAGTATATTAGGCTAGTTTTATTCTATTAGCCTTTCCATTAGCCAAAATACTAAGCATTACAATAAAAAAAAATTACAAAATTGCGGTGAAAATAAAATAAATAGTATTTACGTAAAGTTGGTTGGAACCTTTCTAGTAGCTCTATAAGAAAGACAAAAGAAGAAAAGACATAAGATATCTAAAATTTACTTAGAATAAAAAAGGGTACATTTTAATAAAAGGGGGCGGATGAATAAACTTTAGATAGCATATTTATTTTTTCAAATGTCAAATAACTTTTCATTACAAAAATTGATATCAAAGGGCCATTTTTTGTAAGCTGATTCTGAAAACCCTATCCTATTCTCTCATCTCATTATATTTCTTATACTTTTTAACGCGCTTTGTATCCATTACAGGGCTTGGATTTATTCCATTTGCGATTGTGATATTCTATATCTGGAACAGACATGAATTTCGTGAAAGAGGTTATTTGGATTAGTAAAAATTTTCAATAAGAAATTTAAAATTGTATGTTAGTAAAAGTATTTTCAATAGGAAATATTATAATGTTAATAAAAGCAATGAATCAATATCTTGTCACCGGATGCGAAGATTTATATCAGAGTACATTTTATTTTATTTCGGTTGTCATTTCTATTTGCGCATCTATGGCTTCAGTTCTATATCAACCCTGCCACCCCATTTTTTTTAAGTGCACAATATCACCTTTAGATAAAATCACGTCGTTTCCAAGATTTATCCTCATACATATTTCGACAATATTACCACTCTTTCGGCGAGTATCCATGTAAGACAGTTTACACTTAAACTACTATATGTATCTGGCGAACGGAAGACACGATTTTCATGAATCAAAAGCCGGTGGTCTTGTCTTTACATGGCCGATCACGAGAAAAATAATGGACTTTATTAAACCATGAATGACCACGCAAAAGCATTTATTAATACCATTTTATTTTTCCCAAAAAGCTGTCACTTTAACGTATTTTATTTCATTTGTTTCAAAGTGGGATCTTTGCTGAGTAATTCGTTATGATTTTTTAAAAATAAATTTAAAGACATTTTTTAAAAGCACATGATTTTTATGTTTTCTTGTAGTGTGTTGGAAAAATGTTTCCTGTGGCGGCTGAGGAATATCGTTTTATAAGTAAGGCGCCTTCTCCAGCTGGTGTAAAAGAGTGATTTTTGCGTATGCCTGGAATCGGTTAAGCCTTTTTAAATCTTGATTTTAGTTTATCCTGCGTAGATATGTGTTATTGCTTACTATAAAAAAAAACATGACTAGAGAAATGTTGTTTGGACCAAAGACATAAGGAATTTTAAGTTTGGATATGTTCCCGCAAATAAATAGATCGTAATCTTTATCGCCCTGCTTAAAAATGGCTCCTACTCCATCTCAATCCGTTTTTCCATGTGAAGTTTCATGAAATTCGCTTTTGTGCAGCAAAATATTGGCCATCTGATACCTATTTTAATAATTTTTGACACACTCTTTTAAGTAGCAGTGGGGACTTTTAACTGAAATGTATTGTTTTTATCAATACCTATCGATTTACCCAAAAAACCGCAAAAACCTGTGACGCCCACAATTTTCAAGCTAGATAAAAAATTTTAGCTGAAATGTTTTGGTCTCGTCAATACCTATCGATTGAAAAAAAAAAAAATTGCCACGCCCACTCTAACGCCCATAACGCTTAAATCTGTCTATCGCCGGTAGGTGGCGCATTTTAATCTCGCTTTCCTGCTTGCATATCTCCATTTAGCTGAGTAACGGGTATCTGATAGTCGAGGTAATCGACTATAGCGTTCTTCCTTGTTTGCATTTAACTCTTAAAAGATTGAACTTTTCCACGAATTAAAAGTAAAATGTAGTGCATTTTTATATGGTATAGGTAGTTCAAGCCAAAATCGGAAAATTTTACGTACTTTTCGGTTTTTTATTTTTATAAAAATAACTAGAAGACGCACTAAATCAATTTTCTTACACGATTAAGTATGAGAGAAAACAAATTCAAAAAAATCAGCATCACTATAAAATATTATGTCGTTAAAGATTTATGAACCGTTAAAAATTGCTACTTTCGGAGGCTCCCACTTCAACGTTTACTTAATAATCGACCTAATAAAATGATATATTTTTTTCTTCTTGTTATCTCTTTAGATTCCTATACCCAGTCGTAAATGACAGCATTCCATCATGCGTTCTTTCATTATGAAATGGCATCAAAAAGGTGTTCCGGAAGTGATGAGTCTGTCCATTCTTTTTACACGGGTGCGGGACAAAAATAAATGCACCCGTTGCATGCTTCTGGAAGCATATATCTGGAATGCACCTGGAAGTAACAAACTAAACACATTCTGGGTGTACTCTTTTTTAATGCACCTGGAAGCAACATACTAAACACATTCTGGGTGTGTTGTTTTTTAATGCACCTGGAAGCAACATACTAAACTCCTTCTGGGTGTACTCTTTTTTAATGCACCTGTAACATGTACCCAGGAATGCACCTAGAAGCATTCAAAAACCAAATATCTGGAAGTTTTCCCCAGGAATACATAAAACTGGATTTCAATTTCATATTTATTTTCATTTCAATATTCAAAAACGCAACTAATTTTTAATCGGAGTAACTCCCCTTCTGTACGGTGCTTTGGTGCTTCCTTCTTGTTTATGTACTTTTGTCATTTACGCAGTTCAGTCCTTGGTGTGCCCATTCATTTTTTGCGATTCTGAAAAATATAAAGCAAATTTAATATTATATATTTTGAAATATGTGTATATACATTACAAATATACAATATGTTTATTTTGTATGTACAATTTACATACAAATAGTTATTATTTTATTTGTTTAATATGTTTTTAGTTTGAATGTTCAGTGTACATGTACTGTGTTATTTCATTGTGTTCATATTGAACTAAATTATCTACACTTTACTTACCTGTGAAAATATTGATGTAAAATTGGTCGCAGAAAGCAACAAACTTTTTCAAAACACGTGGCACGAACTTCACTTTTCAGAACTAAAAATGCAACTGACGAGAAATGCAAGAGACAAGAAAAACAGCTCGCTTCCTTGCATGTTTCCTTTTGTCTTTATTATTTGTTTGTCAAGAGAACAGTTCCGAAAAAAGACGATTGTAAAAAAATGCGCATCGGCAACCTTCGGGTTTGAGTTTGGTTTTTTTACATTCCCACTAAAATGCACCTGGATGCACTATATTGAAATACACCCAGATGGCACCCAAAAGACTGCCCCCAGCACGCACATTTTGCTGGGTAAATTTGCATGCGTGCTGTTTTGCGTAAAAAAGATACGACCCAGAACTATTTCTTTCGGAATACGTTCCCGAAACGGGTGTTTGGGCATGCTTCTGGATGCATTATTCTGAAACACTTCTAGAAGGCACCGCAATAAAATGCACCCAGCACGCACATTTGCCTTGGAAAATTTGCATGCGTGCTGTTTTGCGTAAAAAAGGTACGACCCAGAACTATGTTTTTTTAAAACACGTTCCGCAACTTACGACTGGGGAGGCCATTAAGCTACATTTATATTTGTATAATATATTTTAGTTCTCATCCGAGGGAAGTGCAAGAAATGCAGTATACCCTTAGGCATACTTTAGTCCTCCCTTATGAATGACAGAAGTTGTGAACATTTTTTAGAGACGAGCCAAAAAAGTTGATATTTCTCTTTTCGAAATATTGATATTTTATTCGATGGTTTGGTTTCAGAAATAAAAGAAGCGGGAATGAATGAAAAAAGTAGATTTTAGATGTTAGGCAAACTAAAATCAAATATTGGCGCGCAAAACGTACATTAAAGCCTCAAGAAAAAAAATACGGCATTCTTTTTATACCCGTTACTCGTAGAGTAAAAGGGTATACTAGATTCGTCGGAAAGTATGTAACAGGCAGAAGGAAGCGTTTCCGACCCCATAAAGTATATATATTCTTGATCAGGATCACTAGCCGAGTCGATCTAGCCATGTCCGTCTGTCCGTCTGTCCGTCTGTCCGTCTGTCCGGATGAACGCTGAGATCTCGGAAACTATGAGAGCTAGGCTATTGAGATTTGGCGTGCAGATTCCTGAGCTTCTTACGCAGCGCAAGTTTGTTTCAGTAGAGTGCCACGCACACTTTAACGCCCACAAACCGCCCAAAACTGTGGCTCCTACAGTTTTGATGCTAGAATAAAAATTTTAACTGAAATGTAATGTTCTCATCAATACCTATCGATTGACCTAAAAAAAAGTTTGCCACGCCCACTTTAACGTGACGCCCACAATTTTTATGCTAGATAAAAAATTTTAACTGAAATGTATTCGTCTCGTCATTACCTATCGATTGACTCAAAAAAAAGTTTGCCACGCCCACTTTAACGCCCACAAACCGCAAAAACCTGTGACGCCCACAATTTTCATGCTAGATAAAAAATTGTAACTGAAATGTATTGGTCTCGTCGATACCTATCGATTGATCCAAAAAAAAATTTGCTACGCCCACTCTAACGCCCATAACGCTTAAATCTGTATACCGCCGGTAGGTGGCGCATTTTAATCTCGCTTTGCTGCTTGCATATCTCCATTTAGCTGAGTAACGGGTATCTGATAGTCGAGGTACTCGACTATAGCGTTCTTCCTTGTTTCAACTTAAAATTAAGCCTTCAATTAAAACTAAAATTACTGAAAACTAAGGCAAAACCGCATCGAGTCGGCGATGAATGATTTTAGTAAATTATTCTAAGAATTTATTTTTGATGTAATAACTCCATTTGGGGATGGCACTCAAAAGCACTAAAAAAGCAAAGTACTCATTTGCTAAAAAAAACAGTAAAAATCAACGAAAAAGTTTCTTTCAGGAAACAAGTAAGACATACGAGCTATTTAATATTTTTTACTTGTTTAAAATAATGACTCCGAAAAGTTTTGTGAAGAAGTCGAACAGCTACATCAGCATCTTTGACTTTTAAATTTTTTTTATTTCTATCAATATTTGATGAATTTTTTACTTAAAAAATACGGAAAAAGAAAACTACTTGCCCGAATTCTTTGAAACTTTGGCATAAATTAGTTCAATGTACTATAAAAAGGACTCCATACTTGGTCTGGTCATTTTCTTTAAAAAAAACGTATTTTCGGATTGGCTGGCCCAGTCTGCACCGTACACTTCAACGCAGCACGCCAAATTCAAGGGGTGAAGACGAATGGCAAGTGCATTCGATAGCATTGTTGCATCCTTGAGTTGCAATTTAGTGTTTCCTTTTTGATTTTTATAAACTTAAATTTGTTTTAAATTACTTTTCTTAAACCTACAACTAAATCTCTACCAATTTTTCAATATACTTACCATTATTTTAACATAGTACGCAATAAATCACTTTTTTTTTTAATTTCGATTTCGATATATGTATATTTTAGATATCGAAATTTTTACAAATATTTTTTTTACTTACTTCTTGCATTAAAATTTAATTATTTATATGCTTTTCAAGGTCATTGAACGTTACACATTATTATCTGTCAATATGTTTATATTTTGACATATTTAAGTATAGTTAAAACTGTATTTTGTTTCACTAGCAGCGTTAACTAAGTTTTTACCTTTTGATTAGGTTTTAAATGATCGGGGAGAACAAATTTATATATATAAGATTGTTTTAAGACTAGATTGATTTGCGCTCGCTTCTAAGGGAATATTTCCCCCTGAATTTATCCTATGGAATTTCCTATGTACACGAGCAGCGAACGCATCGTCGAAAAAATTCCCCCTGAAACCTCCTGAAAATGTTCACGTGGTGCCAGCCCCTGAATTTTTCCTATGGAAATTATTGTGGAATCAAGCACCACATGCCTGACGGTCCGACTGGGGAACATAATTTTTTGTAGTTTTAAGAATTTCGAATTAAATTTAATAATTATAACTGCAAGGATATACATACTTCGGCTTGCCGAAGTTAACTTCCTTTTTTGTGAATTATATATCGAGTTGCGCTTAACCAAATTAGGTCATATATGGTTTAGATTAGAACTGTAATGTCACCTTTAATTTTGCAAATAATTAAGTATATTGAGAGGTACAACTCAGCGAACTTTGAAAATGTTCCACTTTCTTAAAACTTTAGTGGCTGTTCGACCACCATTTATTCATGGTATCGACTATCTGATACCCGTTACACAGCTAAAGGGGACAAAGGGGATATGGAGATATACAAGCAGCAAAGCGAGATTGTAAGTCGCCACCTACCCGCCGTATCAATATTTTGTTAGGTGTGCGGCGGACACATTTAAGCGTTATGGGCGTTAGAGAAAGCGTGGCAGACTTATATCAGGTCAATCGATAGGGATTGACGAGACCAATACATACAATACATTTTTTGCTTATCACTAAAACTGTAGGAGCCACAGTTTTAGGCGGTTTGAGGCCGTCAAAATCGGCATGGCATATTCGCGAATAAGCTTGCCCTGCGTTCGAAGCAAAAGAATCTAAATCTAAATAAGATTTGGGATGTGTGAAAACAAACAAATATACTAGCACGATTAGGTTCTAAGCATTTGATTTACCGACTAAAACAATAATATCATTCACAAGGGTGCAGAAGGCCAACATAACCATTTTGTTTTCCAGGGAAAAAGCTTTTGCAAAAAAAAAACTTAGAAGTAATCATTATTTTTGATTTTTAAATTTTTTTATTTTTTTGATTAAAAATAATGATCATTTTGTGACTTTTATAGAATAGAACTCATATTAATTAATGGATATAAACTATAGTGAAAATAGCTTTTGAATTTTCTGTCACAGTGGAATTTACGTAACAGTTACCCAGAAGTCAATACAACTAAGTTCCTAAAAATGTGTGATAAAAAAACCGGATTGATATATATTAAAACATTGTTTTCACTTACTCTGATGGTAATGGCGGGATTTGATATAATATATATAATAGCCCCTCAAGGTAATTCACGTAAATACAAAAATTATGATATATTGAAAGCTTTTTGATTTCAGGTAAAAAAATGTATTTGAAATATTTTATATCATATAACATTATTCTGATGGGTCCGATTAATATATTAGTATTGATAGTTTCAGTTTGGATTATTAATGTAATTATTTAGAAAACGTAAATTGTTCTTCTTGTTAGAAGTTTTATATTTTCAGGAACTGAAACGCCTATGTGTAATTAATTTACTGTGTCTACCAGTAAATCTGTCAGTATTTATCTACCTGATTCTTAACTACCCCAAACTAAACATATTGGACTGGCATGATCATCCTAAGTGGACATATTCAAGTGGTGTGATTGCCTGGTCGGACATCAAATGGATTTTACTTCTTTTTGGTAAGTTCAAGTATTTTGACAAAACAAAAGATGTATATTTTAATAATTTGAACGTACTTTATGTACAGTTGGCATCAATAGTAAGTTAATTAAAATTTCATTTGAATGTTAAAAGAATTTTCTTAACCCATTTAGCAATTAGCAATTATTTAAACGTCAAATTTTTGTGGAAACTTTTCCTCGTCTTGAAAACCTAAATTTGTTGGTGCTTTAAGGTCCTCAAAGTAAAACTAATAGTAACTGTAAAATTAATTTTTTAAAAATCTCTTTTCTGATATTTTGCACTTTGTACCCGTTACTCGTAGAGTAAAAGGGTATATTAGATTCGTCGGAAAGTATGTAACAGGCAGAAGGAAGCGTTTCCGACTCCACTTTGCGTAAGACCAAGAAAGGAATCTTTACTTCCTAAAACAAAAAAAAATTGTATTTTTGCCGCGGAAAAGATGTTTTTTCTACAATTTTAAGTTAAGTGCTATAAAAACATATGGGCTTTCCGTTCGCTGTTAAAATCACTGAACGGCAGTCCACGTAGTGATAGTGACGAAGCGCACAAGAAGAGTATGCGAAGGCGACTACTATAAACGAAGAAATAAAAATCAGCTGTGATGATCCGATCATAACAAATAATACACCAATCGAAAAGTAACGCAAAAACTAAAAGGATTGCATACCAAGACTTCAAAAATGTAAATTGGTCTGAAAGAAAGAGCAGTGAAAGTTAAAAAGTACAAATTTGAAAATTTTGAGTTATTGGGACCTTTGGAAATAAGTGCCCCAGTATATTAGGCTAGTTTTATTCTATTAGCCTTTCCATTAGCCAAAATACTAAGCATTACAATAAAAAAAAATTACAAAATTGCGGTGAAAATAAAATAAATAGTATTTACGTAAAGTTGGTTGGAACCTTTCTAGTAGCTCTATAAGAAAGACAAAAGAAGAAAAGACATAAGATATCTAAAATTTACTTAGAATAAAAAAGGCTACATTTTAATAAAAGGGGGCGGATGAATAAACTTTAGATAGCATATTTATTTTTTCAAATGTCAAATAACTTTTCATTACAAAAATTGATATCAAAGGGCCATTTTTTGTAAGCTGATTCTGAAAACCCTATCCTATTCTCTCATCTCATTATATTTCTTATACTTTTTAACGCGCTTTGTATCCATTACAGGGATTGGATTTATTCCATTTGCGATTGTGATATTCTATATCTGGAACAGACATGAACTTCGTGAAAGAGGTTATTTGGATTAGTAAAAATTTTCAATAAGAAATTTAAAATTGTATGTTAATAAAAGTAATTTCAATAGGAAATATTATAATGTTAATAAAAGCAATGAACCAATATCTTGTCACCGGATGCGAAGATTTATATCAGAGTACATTTTATTTTATTTCGGTTGTCATTTCTATTTGCGCATCTATGGCTTCAGTTCTATATCAACCCTGCCACCCCATTTTTTTAAAGTGCACAGTACCACCTTGAGATAAAATCACATCGTTTCCAAGATTTATCCTCTTACTTATTTCGACAATACTACCACTCTTTCGCCGAGTATCCATGTAAGATAGTTTACACTTAAACTATTATATGTATCTGGCGAACGAAAGACACGATTTTCATCAATCAAAAGCCGGTGGTCTTGTCTTTACATGGCCGATCACGAGAAAAATAATGGACCTTATTAAACTATGAATGACCACGCAAAAGCATTTATTAATACCATTTTATTTTTTTCAAAAAGCTGTCACTTTAACGTATTTTATTTCACTTGTTTCAAAGTGGGATCTTTGCTGAGTAATTCGTTATGATTTTTAAAAAATAAATTTAAAGAAACTTTGTGTTGGAAAAATGTTTCCTGTGGCGGCTGAGGAATATCGTTTTATAAGTAAGGCGCCTTCTCCAGCTGGTGTAAAAGAGTGATTTTTTATATGCCTGGAATCGGTTAAGCCTTTTTAAATCTTGATTTTAGTTTATCCTGCGTAGATATGTGTTATTGTTTACTATAAAAAAAAATGACTAGAGAAATGTTGTTTAAGATAGATATAAGGAATTTTAAGTTTGGATATGTTCCCGCAAATAAATAGATCGTAAGCTTTATCGCCCTGCTTCTGTTTTAAAAATGGCTCCTACTCCGTCGCAATCCGTTATTCCATGTGAAGTTTCATGAAATTCGCTTTTGTGCAGCAAAATATTGGCCATCTGATACCTATTTTAATAATTTTTGACACACTCTTTTAAGTAGCAGTGGGGACTTGGTTCCTTGTAGTTGGTCAAAGGATGTTCCGAGTTTCAGGTAATATTACTGATATCGATCGCTTCCAACATTAATTTGCAGTTTTTATGGTACGTAAAAACACACACGGAATGAGTGCCACTTTATTGGAGAACCACAGCGCTATGTTGAATTTGACGCGTTTCCGTGGCCAAAATTAAAATTTTTGAAATTAACATGATTTATCAATGCAGGTTTCTTTTATAATGATGGTTATGACTATAGGAATGTATTTTAGAAAAGTGGGCGTGTCAACGCCCCCTTCCGCCCACAGAAAACGGAAAAGAACAAAATTTAAAGCAATTATAAAGTTAGAAACCCCAATTTTGGAACACAGGATGAATGTTATACTTCAAATGTGTTTTGCAAATTTGGTCCAGATCGCATAATAAATATAGAAGTTATTCAATAAGAAAATAAATTTTTTGTTGCATTATTTTATGTATTCATTTTCAACTACATCAATGTCATCAATTTCATTATTATTATAAAAACAAGGAAGAACGCGTACTTCGACTATCAGATACCCGTTACTCAGCTAAAGGTACCAAATGGAAATGGAGGTATGGTGTAGACAGATTAAAGCGTTATGGGCGTTAGAGTGGGCGTGGTATGGTGGATAGGTATTGACGAGACCAATACATTTCAGTTAAAATTGTTTATCTAACGCGTAACAAACTTGCGCTTCGTACAAGGCTACGGAATCTAAATCTGAGATCCCAATTTTCTATCTTTGATAGTTTCCGAGATATCCACGTTCACATTAACGATTTTTTGAAGTTTGTGGGCGGTTTGTGGGCGTTAAAGTGGGCGTGGCACTTTGCTGAACCAAACTTTTACTCTACGAGTAACGGGTATAACTAGAAGCGTGGGCCGCTAGGTGGTCCGGCGGATGTCATTCAAACATGGGCCTCCACAGTATTCCCTTTCCAGAAACGAAGTCACTATGTGTTGAATTGGACTCGCCTTTTCCGTTTTGTTGGTGCTTGGGACGAAATCTCGGGCTGACCATCCATTTTTGTCTTGGTTCTTGTTAAAAAAGCAGGCATTATTCGATTGTCAGAAACCAGTACTTTCTTGAGGGATCAGTACAGTCTTTCCATAGCCAGCCCTTTAAACAACGCTTATTCAAAAATATAGTTAGATCAAAAATTATTTTTTTTTTTCCTTCTGAACACGATGTTGCGGAATGTGTGATAGAGGCACTGTGAACCAGCTGCATATGCTTGGGAATTCGGCAAGATATAGGTGAATGCTGAACTCGGTTGAGCTAAAGCCCACATATCTTCATAAAAAATATGTTTGCTGCACAACAAAAGCAGCACCCATAATACGCAGAGGTCCGGTGTATAGTTTCATTGATTTCGATTTCGCTGTTTCCTTTTTGCCTTTACCTATTTTTTACTTGCGTCTCTTACACGGACAATCTGGTGTTCCATCAAAGTCTCTCGTTCGGCACATCCTACACCCAATGCCCTCGTCGTCCTTAGGCTTTAGAATTTGACAACCGAGTTCGGGTGACATATATATCAAAAATCTCCATCTTCTGCTGTTAAAAAAATTGTTTGGTTCATTATGTATTACTGCTGCCGGCCTTAATACCATCAATTTTCATGTTGCTAGGAATGCACACTTCCAAGTCAGTCAGACATAATATCCCGACTCACTTTCAATTGTGCATTCGAACTTATTTTGCTCAGTGCAGTCTCCACACATTACAAAGTCTTTTTTAAATGAGGAACATGTGATAAACAAGAACAGAGCGAAAATAAGAAAACAAAATATGCGCTTAGACATTTTAAGGAAAACCTATTATTTGCTCCGCATTTATAAAAACAAGATTGACTACCTAATTCCTTTTTTTCCAAGGACTACTTGGATGGGAAGATGGGTATTAATAACACAGGTCGGCAAAATCTGAACCTTTTCTTGGCCCAAAGCCAAATGCAAAGCAAAATCTGAAAGGTTTTTACCTGTAGATTTTTAGCCACTTTTTCGACCTACGAATTGAAATTAAATAATTCGTAGCCCAGAACCGTAATATATCTGAACTCAACAGTGAATCATCATGTTTGTGGGACCACTACTTTTTAGTTAAAATGCATTTTAGTTAATTTATGTAAATTTTTGTACCCGTTACTCGTAGAGGGCTTTTCTGGATTCGTCGGAAAGTATGTAACAGGTAGAAGATAGCTTTTCCAATCCTATAATGTATATAGATTCTTGATAAGGATCATTTGCTGAGTCAGTCTAGCCATGTCCGTCTGTCGATCTGTCTCTCTGAATGATCGCTGAGATCGCGAAAACTACAAAAGCTATAAAGTTGGGATTTGTCATGCAGATTCCCAAGGTTCTTGCGCAGCGCAATTTAATTTCCGAAGGGAAACGCTAAAACCTGTCCAGCAACAACATTTTGTAATATTATATAAAAATTAAAATGGGCTCTTGTTTTGATTATCAATACCTATCTAGTGTCATGATTGAACATTTGACACCTTTACCACTATTTTCTTAAAACAGGTGACGTGATAAAAAGTTCATAGCCTTGTGGTCGTAATCTACAGGGGAGTCTTTCAGATTTTGTAGGGTTAAGTCTAGGACTTTTTTGTAGACCTGTGTAATCAAAGTAACATCTCAATTACACTTTTACAAAATCTTTATAGGTCGGAAACGCTTCCCTGTACCTGTACGTACATTTCTCCGAATACAATGTAACCTTTTAGTAACGGGTAAAAAATGTTAGGACCAAGAAGGAGCTTCTTATTTTTTGAAACATTTGATCGTTAATTATTTATTTACATGAAGTATTGCCATTAGAACAACTTAGTTAGAAACGTGGGATAGAGGAACTGTGAACAACTGCATTTGCTTGGGAATCCGGTAAGGTCTTGGTAAAATATTAACTCGGTTGTTCTAGAACTCGTCTCTAAATCCCATATATGTAGCTTTAGTTTCATAAGTAAGTTGCCTGGTGAACATGCTGTACACTATAAGCAGCAATAATTACAAGCAGAGATCCGGTGTAGATTTGCTTTGATCCCGATTTCTCATTTTTCTTTTTGCCTTTGCCAGACTTGGGTCTCTTACACGGACAATTTGGTATATCATCAATATCTCTCGTTCGGCATAACGAACAACTGGTACCCTCTTCGCCCTTAGGTGTAAGAACATGACAACCAAGTTCGGGTGACCAAACACAAATATATTGGAAAGTTCCATCTTCGGCTGTAAAAATAAATATTGGTTAATTCATTATGTGTTACTGCTGCCGGCCTCAATACCATCAATTTTCATGTTGCTAGGCATGCACACGCCCAAGTCAGCGGTTTGCGGAGGGGATGATTTGGATCTTAAAGCCATCGATTCAGAAAGGGGATGGTGTCGTTGTACATAGTATCCCGAATCGCTTTCAATTATGCAGTGTTCCTTGTTATCCTTAGTGCAGTCCCCACACATTACAAGGTCCTTTTTAAATGAAGCACATGCGGTTAACAGGAAGATGGCAAAAATCAAAAAACAAAATATACGATTTTGAAACATTTTAAGGAAAACAAATTTTGGCTCCGTCGTTATGCAAACAAGATTGACTTTAGAATTATGTACATTTATTTCAGGGACTACTTGTTTGAAGTAAATGAAGTAAAATTTGTAAAAAATGATTATACTCTATTTTTTTGAATTTTTTTTCGCTCAGGAATATTGATTATTTTTGATTTTTATTCTAAAACGCAAAAATAATTATTACTACTGCGTTTTAGTTTTAATCAAAAATAATAATTTTTTTTATTTTTAAAATAAAACTCATATGATTACGGTCCCTGGTAAACAGAAAGAAAGAAAGAAACACTTCTCGACACTGTGGCTCGACTCTCAAAAGTTCTTATTAAGAAAATTACCCAGTTTTCTATTTTAATGGGTCAGTGACCCAAAAAATAAACCAAACAAGAAAGAACGCTATAGTCGAGTACCTCGACTACCAGATACCCGTTACTCAAAGGGAAATGGAGATATGCAAGCAGCAAAGCGAAATTAAAATGCGCCACCTACCGGCGGTAGACAGATTTAAGCGTTATGGGCGTTAGAGTGGGCGTGGCAAATTTATTTTTGGATCAATCGATAGGTATTGACGACACCAATACATTTCAGTTAAATTTTTTATCTAGCATGCAAATTGTGGGCGTCACAGGTTTTCGCGGTTTGTGGGCGTTTAAATGGGCGTGGTAAACTTTTTTTTAAGTCAATCGATAGGTATTGATGAGAACAATACATTTCAGTTAAAATTTTCTGTCTAGCATCAAAACTGTAGGAGTTACTGTTTTGGGCGGTTTGTGGGCGTTAGAGTGGGCGTGGCAGTCTACTGAAACAAACTTGCGCTGCGTAAGAAGCTCAGGAATCTGTACGCCAAATTTTAATAGCCTAGCTCTCATAGTTTCCGAGATCTCAGCGTTCATCCGGACAGACAGACGGACAGACGGACAGACGGTCAGACGGACAGACGGACAGACGGACAGACGGACAGACGGACATGGCTAGATCGGGTCGGCTAGTGATCCTGATCAAGAATATATATACTTTATGGGGTCGGAAACGCTTCCTTCTGCCTGTTACATACTTTCCGACGAATCTAGTATACCCTTTTACTCTACGAGTAACGGGTATAAAAAGTACATTACAATTTATGAAGTTATTAAAGTTTTACATGTTTTAATTTTTTGTGTGTGTATCGATTTTTTTATTGGAATAAATAAACCAAACAGATTTCGTTTCACCGCATTTATTATGTTTTCGATGTTAAAGCAAAAACTCATATGTACAAAAAATTCGTTTAAAAAATACATCGTGCAAATGCAGAGCTATGGGATGAGAGAAAAAGAGTACAAAAAGAAGGAAGTACACAATTTAGCCATAGTGAGATGTATTGATTATAGTGAGCTACTTCAGTCCAATCACATTGTGTTTTTTTTACCAGAAGTATGAAATGCTAAAGTGGCCTAAAATAGGTTTCAGCCAGGGAATGTTTAGTGTGGCTGGTTAGCCTGATTTGCTGTTTCCTGATGTTGTTTCTGTTGCTGCTGGACTGGCACCTGTTGACTTTGAGCGGGTGGAGGGCTCTGATTGTGGACTTGCTGCTGCGGTATGGGTTGCTGCTGAGCGGTTTGCTGCTGCTGCTGTTGCACGCTGGGCTGTTGCTGCTGTACGGGTTGCTGTTGCAGCTGTGCGGTTTGCTGTTGTTGTTGCACAGGCTGCTGCTGCTGCGCGGGTGGTTGAGCAACAGGCTGCTGTTGCTGTTGCACTGGCTGCTGCTGCTGATAGACTGGCTGCTGCTGTTGGTAGACAGGCTGCTGTTGGTAGACAGCCTGTTGTTGCTGCGGGATCTGCCCTGCGTGCTGATAAACCTGGTTGGGATGCAGCTGCACTGGCTGCTGCCCGTACTGCTGTTGCTGGTACTGTTGAGCGTATTGCTGTTGCTGCTGTGCGTATTGCTGTTGCTGCTGGGCGTGAACCTGATCGGGTTGCTGGTAGTGCAGTTGTCCACCTGGCGGGGGCGCCTGTTGGTAGGCCACGCCTCCTGGGGGTGGTGCTGCATAGTATCCCTGCGGCATGTTTGGATGCGGGGGAAGCTGGCCCTGGGCGATTAGGCGCTGCACCTCCTCCTGACGCCGGCGCTCGTATTCCAGATACTCCTCGTGCGAGTACTGCGGCTGTCGGTCGATGGTCTCCCACTCAGGGTCCTTTTGGAACTCCTCCTTGTTGGTCTGCACCATGAACTCTTCGATGCTGACCAGGCCATCGTGGTTTAAGTCCGTCTCCTGGAAATAGTGCTCGCGCATGCGTTCCATCTCCTCGGCCCGCTCCCTCATGTCGTCCTCAGGAAGACCACTTTGGTAGACCTTGTCCAGTTCCTTGACGAACAAAGCCTTAACCTCCGCCTCGTCCCAGTAGCCATTGCTGTCGACATCGTGAATCGAGAAGAAGGTTTTCGGATCAAAGTCGTTCTTGTCCATGTGGTCCTGCTTCTCCCACACATCCTCCAATTGGGCCTTGTTTCCGGGGTGGTGCAGCTTCTCGTGGTCCTTGTGCTTCTGCTCCTTCTCCTTGACCTCGGCCTCAAACTTCTTACGCGACTCCTCATCCATCTCCTTTTTCTGTGCCTCTCGCTCAAACTCCTTCTGCATTTCGTACTCCTTAAACTCGCCGCGCCTCTTGCGATCCGCCTCGGCCAGGTCGTCGGAGGTCTTCTGGATCAGTTTGCGTAGATCCTCGATCTCGAAGGTGTGCTCGTTGTCGTGGTCCAGATGCTGTGAGACCTTGAGGTGCTTCCGGTCAATGTCGTTGGACAGCTCGTACGCCTGGTTGGCCAGTTCGCGCAGACGCTCCACTTCACGACGCTTGATCTCGTCCAGCTTGGTGCGCACATGATGATTCACATAGTCCAGCTCTTGCGCGATCTTGCCACTCTGAAAATCGGTACAATCAAACAAGAATTATAAAAGGCAACACACAGTCATGATACTCCTATTGCCAAATTGCATTGTGGTCCACCGTTTGCGATTTTAGCTATCTTTATTCTAGCCAAAATCGTTTCTAACTTTGAGATTAACCTCTTTACAGCAATTTGACAACAAAAAATATACCAGAACAATCATAATATATTGAAGTCACTAGAAGCTTAAAAAATTGTGTTTGTCTATAGTTTAGTGCAAACAGAAGATCGAAACAAAAAGTACTTTCAATGTAAATTATACACTGACCCCTGCAACTAAAAGGAGCGTAGCTCTTTAGTCTTATAGACAGATGAGCGGGGATTAAAGACACTCCTAAGTTGTTATATATTTTATTGAATATATTTTTATGAATGTGCAAATCAAATTATTCGTGGCCACTTTGGACCAAGCATTATGTAGCCCTTCCTCTTTCGGGAAACCCCTCCTTACTCACGCGAATGTCGGCCTCGGGCGCCTTATCCAGCTTCTTCCGGAACTCAGGATCCGCCTCCAGGGCCTCGACCACCTCCCGCAGGTAGCGCTCGTACTCCAGGGCCGTTTCCACGTCGGCGGTGGCCGGAGTGGAAGACTCCGCCTCCTTGGGTTCCTTTTTGTTCTGGGTCACGGGCAAGGCGACAACCGAGGAAATCGCAATCAGAGCCAGTCCCAGCAGGGCCACGTTTTGTGCCATGGCTTCAAGTGTGTGCTTCTGGCGTCTACTTCCCAGTTTTGTCCAATGTTGGCCGACAACTGTGCAAATATCTGAATATCTGAATATCAGAAAACAAAACTATATTCTGACGTGTCGAGATGTTGTCGATTTGTTGTTGGAGGAACATCGATGTCATCGATGTTTTCGAAATATCGATGTATGTTTTTTAACCTATCGTCGGTGGTTCGTCCCTTAATAGCAATAGCATGTTTAGACTATTCGCATCATTGTTAAATAATAGTAAAATGATGTTGGCGTTTACACTAGGGACGAAACATTGTATTGGAAACTCTTTGTCGTTATGTGAAATTTACATATTAATAAAGCTTTACATTTTCGAACCTTTGTCAAACTTCCGATATACTTGTCTCTTTATTTTGGCTTTTGTCGACTGCCTTTTCCTAAATATACTTTACGGGAAGGATATGATAGGATATTCTTCGGCACAACTTAATCTGAATATAAAAATGATTTTTTGTATTTATTATTTAAATAATAAATATTTGTTTTTCCAAACCACGTTTAGGCTATACGAACGAGCTCTCAGTGTGAACGGTTTTTGGAGTAATACTGAAAGATGTCTAATAAACGCTTTATTTTATTTAGCAGGAAGTCTTAAAGGACGTTTAAACCTAAACTTTCGAGAAATTTTTTAAAAATCGATTTGAATTTACATAGTTGAAAGTAAAAACCTAAACAGGTATGCTATAAGGGAAAGCCCTAGAGCTATGCAACAACTCGATGATTTTGATAAATATCTGTTTTTTATAAAGTATTTGCCTGGATTAAAAAAGGGCCATAACATAAAAAAGTAACTAAATCTAAGACTCTATTGGACTTATTTATTTAAGAAAGAAGAAACAAATACATGACGGGGATCTGAACATTTTTCCAAAAAGTATACCTTGTTTCCCATTTATTTATTTACATACTGCTTGCTTAAAGTTAAAACTAAAGTAACAAGGGTAGTCAACCCTTCTTGCCCAATTTGTCCTAGTTATTTGTAATCCCTTTCCGCAAAATATGACACGATTCGATTTTGCAATAAAATAATTGTGTATTTTAAATGTTTTTTCTTAAATTCACATCTTGTTTGCTTTTGACCCTTTGCCTTTTCTTTTGCCCACAGCCTTGAGGTCTACTTTAATTTTGCTTAATTTTTTCTGCTTCGACTTCAAATCATTTTCTGTGCCCTGACGCTTTTTTAAAACTTTTTCCGTCTTTTCGACTTTTTTCAGTTTTGCTGATTTGTGGATTTCGTCGATTTTCGGTTCCGGGCGTATCTTGGTTGATATATCTTCGCGATCTAAAGGCTTTTTGGCTCGCATCTTCGCCTCCGATTTCCGAACCTTTTTCATTTGCAGCATATACTCCGGAACAGATCCCCCAGAGTTTTTAATGATCAGTGCAATGCTGAGGGGAAAAAATTGGTTTAAGTCATCGCCATGTTCGGAGCTTGCATTTACCTTCTCAAGTTGGCCGTATCCTCCTGTGTGAAGAATGTAATTGCCCGACCTGGACGTCCAGCTCGACCAGTCCTTCCTATCCGATGGATGTATGAGATGGTGGTGGGCGGGAAGTCGTAGTTGATCACTAGATTGACGCCCTTGAAGTCAATGCCTCGGCCCATGAGCTCCGTACATATTAGCACCCAAATGCTGCCTTCGCGGAAGGCTCTCACGCAGTTGTCACGCTGATGCTGGCTCCGCTCGGCGTGGATAACGTCCACGTTGATGCCGTCGTAGAGCAGCTCCTCGAATAGCTGCTTTGCGCGCTCCTTGCTCTGCACGAAAACGAGTACCGGTGGCTGTAGGCCTTGGCGCACAAGGTCTCGCATGGCCACCAATTTTCCGCTCTCGGATCCGACGAACAAGAGCTCCTGCTGCACCGTTTTTGTGGCGCTGTTTTGCACTCCAATGGTGATACGCACTAGGTTTTTAAGGTGACGCAGCGCCCATTTGGCCACTGGCACTGTGTACGTGGCACTAAAGAAGGCCACGCACTTGGTCGGATGTGAGCAGGCGGCGTATATGTCGTCCAGCTGCTCCTTGAAGTTGTTTTGTCCCTCTTCCATCAGGCGATCTGCCTCGTCCAGAACGAACCATTCGACAAGCGACAAATCCAGCAGCGGTGGCTCCTGCTGAAGGAGGAATCTCACTCGGTTCGGTGTGGAGACTAGGATGTCATAGCGTTGCTTGCACTCGGCTCCATGTTTCTGCTTCGCCTCGCTCACCTTGCTGATGAAGTGAGTACGCAGGCCCGTTTCGCGCGTGAGCTCCGCACACTCGCGGTAGATTTGCTGGGCCAACTCGCGGGTGGGCGCCAGGACCAAGGCTCTCAGTCCGCTGGTCTTGTGCGACCGCAGGCCATCGATAATGGGTGTGAGGAAGGCTAGTGTTTTGCCGGATCCGGTGGGTGCACAGGCCATCAAAGCCCGCCGCTGGAGAAGCACGGGCAGAGCCTGCATCTGGATGGGGGTGGGTTGGTCGAAGTTTCGGGCCAGTAGGTTCTGCTGAAGGCGAGGCAGCAGCTTAAAGTCTCTGGTCAGAGCCTCGAAACTGGGCACCGGTGGTGGGACCTTCTTGCCCAGCACACTGATGCCGTACTGCCTCCTGGTCTCGTTTGCCTCATCGGAGGCCCTTTGGAGCTCCAATTCCTTGGAAGAGGGCGCTTTTCCTGCTTTGGACTTCTTGCGTTTGGGTTGGCTGTCTGATCCTCCAGCAAGGAGGCGGAATTCCGTGGTTTCTTGGTCGTCCTCATCTGATTTATCGCTTTTCACCGGCTCCTCTTGCTTGAAAACCTCGGGCTGGGGTTGAAGTTTTGCGGGTGCCTGCTTCTGCAATGGTTTTCTTTAACAAGAGCGTTACCATCCTTGGTATACACTTACCTTCGGCTTCTTGGTAAAGCGAACGCCAGCCGTAATTAGTTTAAATATGTCATGCTCATCCATTTTTACCAAAATAAACGCACGTGCATTTGTTTATATTTGGTGGTAGCGTTGCCAGCCCTGTCAAAGATCTAGTTCACAGGGTGCTGTTGAGTGGAACAGCTGTTTAGCCGTGTATTTGTTTTGATTCACGCGTAGCACTGCCAGATCTGTCGAAAGTATTGTTAACAGAGGATGTTAAGCACAACAGTTGATTAACCCCTTGGTGACCAAACTTTAATATTTACGTGAAATATTCAAAACATAAATTTAATATGCTGCACTGCTAGCCATACTTAAGCTCTGAAAAATTATAGCCTTAATAATAATTGATATAAACAAAGAAATCCTAATCTTAATTAATTTAAAAATAATTATAAATATTATCTACATATTTTTGGAAACATGCGATGTGTAAATATGTATTTATATTATAGTATTATTTTGAAAAATAAAATTAAATACAAATACTTAAGAATGTAAAGTTTACTTTTTAAGTGAAAATCATAATATCCTAAGAACTAAGGGTTTTCTTAAGTGATGCCTCTCCAAAAACATCTATCTACATATGTAAATACATCCCCGAAAACCAAAGAAAAAACTCCAAGGATATTAAACCGAAATCCAAGTACGTGGCTTTTTTATTCTCCCGGCTCGATGGCCACCAGCTCGTCAAGGAGCTCGACTCTTCGCTGCAGTCCCTTGGAGTCCTTTTCGCTGCCCCTGACCCCCTCGGCCAGTCCGCCCCAGCTAAAGGAGCTCTGGCCAGTGTCCCCCAGACCGTCGTCCTCGTACTCCTCGCAGAGGTTGTGCATCGCACATATGCTCTCCACGATGAGCCGCACCTCGTTCAAATCGCGCGCCTCCAGGGCGTACAGGGTGTTGAACCGGCGAGCCAAGGTGTCCAGGACCTTTTCCGCCAGCTGGAAGGCGGGACGCAGCAGTTCGTTGAACACCGCATCCTTGCGGAAGCACTCGGCCTCGATGGGACGCATCAGGTAGGATTTCAGAGGGAAAACCCCGTTTCCGATGAGATAGCTGCCCGCCGGCATGGTCCTTGGATTTAGGGCCAACGTCTGGCCGATGGGCGAGTCCTCGAAGGTGTATTCCTGGGCCATTTCCACGTAGCAGTCGACGATCTTACGCTCCGCGTTGCAGATCAGCTGAAGCACCACCGGCACCTCGGCGTGCTCCGATTCCAGGAATACGTCCAGCCGTCTCAGTGTGATGATGCCGAAAAGTTCCCGAAAGCAGCGAAGCTGCTCCAGTCTCTGGTAGCCCTGCAGGGTGTTCCGCTGGGCCGCCAGTGAGTTGGGCCACTTGATGAAGCTCTCGTAGTTGTCGGAGATGCAGTGCCAGAATCCCCGCACCACCTGCTGGCAAAGGGCCCAGGGCAGCCGGAACTTCCGGGCGATCTCCTCGAAGTGCTCGTCGGTGGAGAGCTTCCACAAGGCCAGGGACAACATGGTCTGCGCCGGCGGAGTGGGATAGCCGGGCAACGGAATTCCGCTGAGGGTCCCCTCCAGGGTTTGCTGGATTTTCTGAAAGAATTAGGGTGCGCTTCTTAACATTGGCCGGGTCATCGGGATAAGGGAATCTGAGATATTTTAGGAAACGGTATTTGAAATCTGATCCTTTGTCATTATATTTGGGACCAATCGGATCATCATCCTTTAACTTTTTATAGTGATCCCTTTTTCCCGCTAGGAACAGCAAATCTATTCATCTATCAATCTTTATAGACACCTCTGGGGAACCCCATCCCAAACTTACCAGGAATGTGAGCTTGCGCATGTGGAGGTAGGACTCGAACTGGGCATCCGTGTACCGGTGCAGGAGGTTGAGTTCGGCGTGGGGCCACTCCAGCTTGGGCACCTTGAGTTCCTGCTTCCGGACCTCTGGCTCCCGCAGCATCCGGCGCTTCCGGCTGGCGGCCATCGCCCGTTTCCGCTGCATCAGGGCGAAGATCTCCGCCTCATCGTCGTCCTCGCCGAAGGACAACAGGGGATAGCTGCCTGAATTTATGTCCACGGGCGGCTGGTCAATTAGCAGATCCTTGGTGATTATGGAGGCAATGTTGGCCAGCACAGCACGTTCCTCCATGACGAGTTCTTTTCAGATTCAGCCTTAGTTTCGGGTTCTGATTTGTATCCTGTCATCCGGTTTTATCAACCCCCTTTTATCGATGTGTGTGTGTATGCCTCGTCAGCTGTTCGGGGTGCCTTTCCATGGCGAAATATTAAGCTGGTGGTAAGCATAGTCATTATCTATCGTAAGCATTTTAAAAACAACCATCAAAGGACATAAGAGACTTTATTTAAAACGTTCTTATTTAAATATTCAAACATTTGGATTCCTCTAACATGTACAATTTTGTAAAACAGTGCTGCCAGACGGGGTCACTTTCTAACAGATTTTTAGCTTGCTTGGCTTTAACAGTGATGTAAGACATGGACGTTATTTAACAGACATACCCGTTGCTTTCAAAATAATTTCCAAGTTTTAAATTAATGAACTATTTATTTTACAAAACAATAGTTTTAAAAGACGTTTTTTTATACTAAACTTATAAATTGAGAGCATTTTTTGGTCGACACATCTGTCTTTTTCAAGCTACTTGAATAAATATTTGATCAATCTAGGCATATGTATTTGCAGATCCAAAAACAGAGCTAAATACGTCGGTATTTTAACTATGTTGCTTTTTTCAATACACCGAGTGCTGACAATGAATTGGACTCCTCCTATATTTTCTTGTCAAGTTTCATCCTTATATTTTGGGCTAATTAACAAGGTACGCCTTGGTAATCGCACTCCAAGGGAACTAGATATTATTTGGGTTAAAAATCGTTATATGAATGCCAACTTACAACAGTTACTTACCAGTCTTGGGCCTCTGCACCTCGAAGGACTCCCAGGAGCAGGTGTGCCAAGTGGGATTTGCCTCCGGCATGCTGGCCCGGTTCCCCGGGACCGACGCACTCGCTCTCAATTCTCGAACACGTCCTCGCAGGGCAGCCAAGACGTCGGAGTGCCTGTCGGAGTAAGCCAGATTGCTCTGCTCACAGGGATCCGTTGAGAGGTCATACAAGCACTCCTCCAGCAGGGGATTGCAGGACCTCTGGAGATCGCCACAACGCACGGCCGCCGATCGCCGGATGGCCGAGATCCGTTGTTGCGTCAGTCGTCGTAAATCGTAGCGCGACAGAGCTCTTGAGGTGGCGGAATTCCGTACTGTCACCCCATAACGATTCTCTCGCGGATCTAGATCATCCAGCTCGCGGTAGGTGAGCACAGAGTCGTACTGGCCGGCGGCAGTGGTGCCATTCACGTACTTCCACTGACCCATTTGGAGGGCACCCACCCGCCACACGTCGTCCAAAATGTGCAGGATCTCTCGAGGAACGTGGGGAGCATCCGCCGATCCGGATAGCTGGGGCCACAGATCTATTCCGTCTAGTTTCAGGGAGCTATCCAACTCAATTCCCGCCGCATGGGAGAGGGTGGGCAGCCAGTCGGCCACGTAGATGGGCTGGCCAAAGATGGAGCCACGTGCCTGGAGTAGGGAACTCCAAATGGCTCCGGCCACCCTCACTCCGCCCTCCCACGGCGTATTCTTCTGGCCCCGAAGCGGATAATTTGAGCCCGTGTTGGCGAACATGCCCACCGATGGTGCTCCGTTGTCCGAGTAGAAGATCACTATGCTGTTCTCCAGTTGATCCGTGCTGGCCAGCGTACTCATTATACGACCCACGCTCTGGTCCAGTTTGGAGACCATCGCTAGGGTTAGATAATTTCTGGGTTAAGTCTTGTTAAAGAATTCAGTAAATTACTTGTAAAAACAAAAAACAACGGACACTCAAATTACTGTGTAAAACTGAATCGATTAGGTTATATTAAAACAAACTTTTTGGTTAGCGTGTGGACAAGCAAACCGTCCTTAGATCAGAAATATCGCATTTAGTCAACAGATATCTTATCCTTAAATTTAACAAGCTTTAAATCTGATGTCTGATCTATCTCTATAAATCTACTTATGATAATCAAATAAAATAAGTCTCTTAAAGAGGTATTAGTTATAATAGCAAAAATATAAATGAAAATAAATATTTTAAGAACTGAGAGTACTCACCAGCATATTTCCTCCGGCTTGGATCCTTGATGTAGGAAAACTTTCGTATCTCTTCTTCAGGAGCCTGTAAAGGATCATCCTCATTCGCTGTATGAGTAGCCAGATGGCTAAGCATCAGGAAAAGCGGTTGCTCCTTATCGGCATGTTCTTTGATCAACCGTTCCGCCTCTGCGGTCAACAAATCAGTCACGTAAACCCCACGATCTCGGCACTCCAACTCCATGTTCCGCCGGAAGTCGTAGCCCAGACTGTAATTGGCCACCGGCATCTTGGAGCGTCTCTGGTAATAGTCTATGTAGGCGCCCCAGTAGCCGTAGTGGTAGTCAAATCCCCGCTGGGTGGGTGTGTATTCCGGTCTAGAGAAGCCCAGATGCCACTTTCCCACCAAGTTGGTGGAGTAGCCTGCCTCCTTAAAGATCTCGGGCATCAAAGTGGCATTAAGGGTCAGAGCCCAGGGCTCCTCATTGCTGATCACAAAGTGCTGGGTGCCTATGGAAGCCACATTTGCGAAAATGTTTAATTTAAATAAATATTGTATATAATATAGATTTAATTTAAATAATGGTAATAGTACTAATAATAAAAAATATATAAATTGATGGTACATCAGTTATTGTATTATAACATACTATGGGAACACAAAATTTTAATTTCAGAACTTAAAAGAAAAAATTAAAGATCAAAGTAAAGTTGCTTTTATATTAACTAACATTCTAATAATAATTTTGACTAAGATAACAGAAAATATGTAATTTGATCTGCCTTAAAAAATTCTTTCTAGTAAATCCATACAGGGTACCCTATCAATTATTCCACTCTGGAACCATATATTAACACAGTATTATAAGAAGAGTAGCAATTTGTATGATCACAATATGTACATTTCAAAATTTGGAGTTCACTTAATACATATTCGAGTTGAAAATCTCCAATGGATAAATGCCAAAAAAAGTAAAACCTTTTTTGGCAACCACTTGAAATGTTTTCTACTAAGTTACTACCCCATATATTATAATGCCAAATGGTACTTGCCTGTGTGTATTGGATAACGACCGCTGAGTAGAGCTCCCCGGGAAGGAGTGCACATAGCGGGGGCGTAGAGACGATCCAGTAGTCGACCGTGATAGGCCAAAGCGTCGATGTTGGGTGTTAGAAACTCCCGGCCGCCGCGAAAGCTCACATCATCGAAGCCCTGAAATTCGGTTTGTTTTGGAAATGGTTAAAATGGTTGATTCATGGTGGCGAAACTAGTCCCACCATATCATCGGCCATTATGATGATTATGTTGGGGCGCCGTGCCGCAGCGGCCCCATCCGACTTCACCCATTGGAGGCAGAGTAAGAGTAGAAACGCTGATAAGCCCCGCATCGTGGTTACTCAATTTCCGAATTGGACAAACACGTAATATTCGACAGCCGCGTTCCGCTTTGCACGGCAGTTCCCGATCGACTGAAGCCGCGAGCGGAGAAGTCCACGTAACATCTCGCCCCGACTCAGTATTGGGCCTCGATCTCACTCCCAAACTAAGCGATTGTTGTTCGATTCAACATCGATCAAACCAAATTAGCAGTCGCCAACAAATTTATATATGTGGTTACTGCACACCTCCAACAAAAACAAACTCACTAATTATAATGTGGAGCAAGTGTAAATACGCTTAAAATTAAGTGGAGTTTTTTTTTGAGATAGTTGAATAAGCTGAAGACAAGTGGGGTATATTCTGTTGCGGATCAGTAGGTGATTAGCATTGATCAGTCTGAGCAGAATAATCAAAGTCGGACATTGGAATATGGAAACAAGGAAGAACGCTATAGTCGAGTACCTCGACTATCAGATACCCGTTACTCAGCTAAATGGAGATATGCAAGCAGCAAAGCGAGATTAAAATGCGCCACCTACCGGCGGTATACAGATTTAAGCGTTATGGGCGTTAGAGTGGGCGTGGCAAATTTTTTGGATCAATCGATAGATATTGACGAGACCAATACATTTCAGTTAAAATTTTTTATCTAGCATGAAAATTGTGGGCGTCACAGGTTTTTGCGGTTTGTGGGCGTTAAAGTGGGCGTGGCAAACTTTTTTTTGAGTCAATCGATAGGTAATGACGAGACGAATACATTTCAGTTAAAATTTTTTATCTAGCATAAAAATTGTGGGCGTCACAGGTTTTCGCGGTTTGTGGGCGTTAAAGTGGGCGTGGCAAACTTTTTTTTAGGTCAATCGATAGGTATTGATGAGAACATTACATTTCAGTGAAAATTTTTATTCTAGCATCAAAACTGTAGGAGCCACAGTTTTGGGCGGTTTGTGGGCGTTAGAGTGGGCGTGGCACTCTACTGAAACAAACTTGCGCTGCGCAGGAATCTCAGGAATCTGCGTGCCTAATCCCAGTATTGTAACTCTCATAGTTTCCGAGATCTCAGCGTTCATACGGACAGACGGACAGACGGACAGACGGACAGACGGACAGACGGACAGACAGACATGGCTAGATCGACTCGGCTAGTGATCCTGATCAAGAATATATATACTTTATGGGGTCGGAAACGCTTCCTTCTGCCTGTTACATACTTTCCGACGAATCTAGTATACCCTTTTACTCTACGAGTAACGGGTATAAATATTCCCAATATAAATCTGGTTTTGGAAATTAAAACTATATAACTTGAGAAAAAGTTAAAAATTGGTTTGATCCTCTTATGGCAAATTAAATCAACTGATATAACCCTATATTGAATTCCATAGAGAACAAAATAAAATATACATAATATAATAAATAAAACAATTAACTGAAATGGATTTTTAATAAAACAAGGGATTGTTTTACTTTACTTTTGTTATTTAAACTAAACCTTATAGGGTAGTCAAACTGAATGATACTAACTATATAACCATCTATCTGGCTCCTGGGAGTCCAGTGGTCCAGTGAGTAATACTATCGGGACACGCACAGACATACACGCTTAATTAGCTTCACACGCACACAGTAAAGGCATAATCTGATCCTGATCCTGATCCTGTTTCTGATCCCCGCTCCGATCACGATCACCAGACAAGGCTCCTGGCCGCCGCC